AGCCATTTTCATAATGGTACAATATATTGTCTCCATATGAATGTTTCTTAACATCTTGGCACATGTAATTCTTCAAGTTTAGATATATTTGCTATAAAATAATACAAGGATAAGCTAATATAAAACCTTTTGATTAATTTCTCATAACTTTACATATTTAAAACATCAAATGAAGCAAATAGCATAGTTTCAGTCTATTTATTATCAAGAAGTATTCAATTTAGGAGGGAGGGGTTCTATATTTATTTTAGATGGTTTATTTCAATTTTCCTAGTAAAAAGGTTTAATTTAGTGCGGATGGTCATAGGTCAGTTGTGGATCACAAAGGTTTCGGCTATGTGGCGTTTGCGTTGAGCCATTCAACTAATGTTTTAATTCATTGTTCTGCTGCTTAAAACAAACTCATTTACTGTAAAAAATGTGCGCTGCTTTCAAAAAATTCATGAATTGGTCTGCTCCGCTTGTTTGAAACAAACTCAATTACTGTGCAAAATGTGTACTGTTTCAACAAATTTCATGCAATGCTTTGTTTGCTATAATATCTTTAGTAAAGTTAGCGGTTTGATAACCCGGAACGATAACTACATCCATGTAAAGTTTTTTTTTAAATATATAAAACTTTAATGTAAGGTTGTTTACCATTCGTGGTATACCCGTAATTGGCTTTATTATGCTTCTAAGTACATGTAATATAAAGCTTTCATGTTGTTTGCTGCTGCTGCTTACTGTAATTTGTGGTCGACCTTTACGCTTGGCCACCCCTTGCTGCTTTTAGATATCCCACTACCAACAATCGCCAATATCAAAATAAACATGTATAATAGCATGTTTGTTTTATTTTCCTCTGTTTAAATAATGTGTTCTTGTGTGAAATCTAAAATTTTATCAATCTTTGTCAGCGTACAAAGAACAGATCTTATCAATGTTGTTTTTTCCCTTACGTTTTGTAATTTTTAAAAAAGTAACCCCACAAAGAAACATTACGCACACGTCTCTAACAAGTTGATTTATACGGAATGAATTTTGGATTTCAAGTCTGTTTTAAGCATACGTTTAGACTATGTCTTACACTGCCATGAACAAGTGATAAAATTGTCTAACACATAAATGGGAATTACGTTGCTTTACGTATAATAGACAGATTGTATGCTAAAACAGCAGATGATAAAATTGTCTAACACTTTAATAGAAATTAAGTTACTACAAGTATACTAGACAGATTGAATGCTAAAACAGAAACTCAGATTTTGTTCTACTGAATACAGCAATCGAGGAATAAATCTATGCCACTAACTAGTCTGAAGGTTTACAATAAGTGTTCTTATGCACAAAATATTTTTATTTGCTTGTTCGTGTAGATTTCTAGAATTTTACATTCATTTTGAGACGCCACCAACTGTCAGTGTGTTTTGAAGAGCTTCCATCAATTTGCAAGTTTTCCGTCAGGTTCGGAACATCATCCTTTTCCGTCGACACTCGGGGTTCAAGCAGTTTTTTACAGGGGTCTTCTCTTGTGTTTTGAATTTTTCAATTATTTCATTGGTTGAAATGCCTTCCATCAAATTGGAACAATTTTTCCCAATCTTAAAAAAATGCCTTTTCCAATATTTTTAATAGCAATTACAGGTCTCTTTAACATCAAATAATATTTGATTTTTATTGCTTGCGGGCTTTTCCGTTTGAAGAAAGTAACATTTAACGGAATGGCCGGGGTTTGCAAGGTCTCGGTCTTTTCCGTCAATTTTTTTTTCTCAAAAATTCTTGAATTATACGACTTGAAAGACGTAGAGCAGTTTACTGTTTAAGGTTGTTGCTAAAGACGGTAAGCTTTTTTAAAAAGCTCTACTTGTATTCCAATTGGCCTTCCATCTCAGTAGAAATGAGGGAAGGGAACCAAAATATCAGTACCATATAAAAGAACTAGTAATTCAATGTTTATATAAAAAAAAAAAAAGATCAACATCAACCAATAAAAGAGAATAATACAAGAAGTCGTAGAAATTTCGTCTTTTTTTATATACCCGGTACCTTGTTATTGCCTTGTCTGCCCTTTACAATATAACCCTTTTTCATGTTTTTAATCATGAAATACTTGAGATGCAAGTGTTTGATGTAAAACTGAAAACTTTCGACTTTAATATTACAAAACAATCATACAATAATATATAAGAAAGTTTCACATAAAAAAAATACAACACGAAAAAAATGAAGCATGCAGAATTATTTTACATATAATACAAATTCTATAATATAGATATTCAATTTAAACTGTACACAATACATTTTACTTTGAACGATTATCGATTCAAAGTCATTAATATTCATTTACATGTATACATAGGGTTATAGAATTCATTTGATGACGACTGGCAGAAAAATGCAATAAATTATTAAATTGTGAAATTCAACTTTAAATATTTAACTCTCTAAATAAATCAATTGTGAAATTTGCAGAATGCAGATTTGTAACTAATATTTTCATTTATGGTTGTTTGAGTTCTACCTTATTTCAGTACAACATTTATGTTTTGATTTAACCTTAAATTCTTTAGCATGGGGCAAGTTGAATACAATTAACATAATGTTAAAGTCATGGACACTATGAGTAGAAAACAACTCTAACAATGCTTTCTGGGTTTGCTGTTGTCTAAATAAAAAAACCCTAACAATTACAGATGGCGGCAATTTCTAAAGCTCCCTCTGTTCTTATTCATGCTTCTAAAACTTTTTTCCGGAAGTTGCAAGTATTCTCTTTAATTTCAAAAGTTTGAGTATTTTGTTTATCAGATGTTGCTTTTTTGCATATCAAACAACTAAATAAATTCCTAATCACTTTTCTAAAAGCTGAACTTAAGCTTGCGTAAATCAAAAGATCGATGGGTTTCCCAAATGTGAAAGTTGCCGACAAAGCTATAATGTATATTCCATTAAAGATCTGATTTTCTGAAAGGGTGTTAATATCTTCTGTGGGCAAATACATCAAAAGGACAATGAGTGGTAATTCCTGAAAGACATGGGATACACCCATGAAAATGTTGACCTTCATAAGAATTATAAATCTAATATTCTTTGCTGACGTTTTCATAGCGTTTGGCGACAAAAGTCTTAGCTTAGCTAAATTTTGTCTAAGAAGAAATACCAAGAAGATGTTGCAAAAAATATGAATAATAAAAGGAATTAGATGAAAGTAAGACATGATAAAGTAATAAAATACTTTGAACCATATAGAGTGGGGTAAAACAAATCTGAAATAAGAAGGCTGGAAAACTTCACAGCCTGTAATTATTTTCATGGGATACCCTGGTTTAAACTGCTGCATTAAGCGTACCTCTTTAAACTCTATATCAGATTTGCTAATTTCATGCAAAGCTACCATTGACAAATGCAGAAAGGCAAATCCCCAAGACGTATGTTTAAAATTCATTTGTCTAGCTTTAAAAGGATAGGCAACCAGAAACGCTTGATGCAAAATCATCAGTGTTTTTAACCAAATAGAAACACCGTGGATTATGCCTTGTATCCTTAAAGAGTAAAGAATCCATTTACAAACTTTGAATTCAACAAAGCCGTAGTTCAAGTCCAAAGTAGCTAAGAGTCCATCTCTAATTGTAGAAACAAAAATAAAACATACGTCTGCTTGCATGATACAGATGATAAATCTCTGCGTAAAACCAAAAAGTTCCCCGCGCTTAAATGCAATCAACATCAGAAAAGCGGAACATAATGGAATAACAGAGAAAAGAGGTCCATAAAGAAAGGAATAGGTTTCACCCACAGCACCGTATATATCTGTAATATGAAGGCATTTTTCGGTTCTAATTTTATCTAATGTAAAATTCCATCCAATATTCGTCAATCGTTTGAGTAAGAAGTCCTCACGAGCTTTATTCATCTTTGGCACTAAGAAAAAATTCTGATTGTTGAGTAAACAAATCTTCCTCAAACAGTGTTTATGTACCTGGTCTCTTGTCAATCAATATTTGATCACGAGACCTCTTGCGGTTACTGGCTCCATAAGATATTCAATAAATATAGAAGTGTTTAACATATGCATGTTTTGCAGGCATATCAAAATATTAAATTTTGTTAGATACACGGTAATTCTACTGTCCTTATCTAATTTCAAATTTATACAGTTCATAAAAATTGATAATTTTAGAACTCGTAACAAATACAATTAAAAGTGCAATCGTAAAATGATACATATTGTTTGAAGAGATAGTTCTTTGATTTGTGTGATGTTTAGATTTTTTGCTATAAATCTGGTTTTGATTTCGTACTGGAAACCGTCTACCTACTTTTCAGAATCACCGCAACTCGTAAGTCTGCAGAAAAGCAAAAAATTCGGAAGCTAACGTGAGTTTTTTGGGGGTGGGTCAAAATGTGTCAATTTGTCGGACAAAATGTGTCAATTTGCAAGTCAAAATATATCGATTTGTCGGTCAAAATGTGTCGATTTGTCGGTCAAAATGTCTGTCGATGTGTCGGAAACGTTATGGTCGTCGTTATTGTCGTCATCTTCTTCCCCCAAACAGCTGGGTCAATATCAACCAAACTTAGAACAACGTATCGCTGGTTAAAGGAAAGCAAATTCTGTTCAAAGGAATGACACATACCCTTATACAAGAAAAGATAGTTATAAAAGAAAGATAGGATGAGGCTAAAATCAGTCTCTTTCTCAATAACAGCAAAGCCATGGTCAGTCCTATTTATCCTCAACCTTGCTCATATACACCTGATCAGAAATAAAGGGTATTTATGGAATACATCATTTGAATACTGGTACTAGTATTTGTTTTAAAAAAAATTAATAGTAGCTTTTAATGACACAGTGAATTACGTGCTACATTGTTAAGCATATATTTTCGATATTCTGCACTTCAAAACACAAAAATGCTATAATAAAATTATTTTTTCATTCGACTCGTAATTGTATATATATTTTCCCATTGCCACGAAATATGTTATTATGAAATGCAAAAACGAAAAAACCCTAGAAAATGATAGTAATAAAGTATCACTCCCTTGGACAATAGTTAGTAACACCGAAATTTCCAATTATATTAGTTTCGTACAAACAAGACAATGTAATTACTACAAGAAACAAAACTGTACAAATGGCGCCTAGCTTCTTGTCAAGACGACACCGACTTATCACTATGGCAACAATGAGTAATACAATACTCAAAAGAACAGTAATAGTTGAGTAGATTAGCCCACGGCTGTTTATTTTCACCGCAGAACCACTAGAAATGGCGGACATCAGTAACCATGGTAACCCCAAACACATCAACACGTCAAACACATTGCTTCCTATAGAATTTGCTATTGCCATGTCTCCGAAACCTATAGGATAGGAATAAAATAGTTACTTAATAACACATATTTTTAGCCATTATTTTATTGTGTTGACGACCAATATCAAAAAAAGATTCAATATTACTCTATATATACGTGTGTTATCCTGTTCTTCTGTCCTATTTGCTTTCTTTTTTGTACAGTTTATCATTTGTTGTTTATCTGTCTTAATTGGGATTTTTCTGGCAGGAGCATTAAATTACCTACTTAAATTCATACTTGCACTTTGTAACAGCATGAATTTTTTTTCTTTAGTCTCACCTGCTCTGGCAACAAATAAACTAGCTAGAGCGTCTTGCACGCTCTCACCCGCCGCTAAAATAGTCAGACCCATCACCGACTCGGGGATTCCTATAGCATCTCCTGAAAGTAAGACAGAACTTGATTGTATCTGGTGACAAATAAGGTAACTATGAAGTCCTGTACACTATCTCCACCACTAGAACTGTCAGACTCAGATATCACTCATAAAGTACAGTGAAACCTGTCTAATCAGACATTCATTAGGAAAAGAAATTTTGTGTCGGAATAGACAGGGTGCCGGAATAGATAGTGTGAATTCACGTGGAAAAAGAAAAATGGGAAATTTAACATCGGAAATTACAGTGCGACGGATTGTACAGGTGTCGGATTATACAGGTTTCACTGTATGATAAAACTTAATTTTATCCAATGCAAATAAACTAGCTAGACTTGTCTGTCGTTAACACCCTCTCCAGCCACTAGAAATGACAGACTCATGGATCCCAACAGAAATCCGTTGTATAAATAACGTAAAATACAGTTAAACAGGCTAATAACAAAGTACGTATACAAAGAATTCACGCTTACATCAGATTAATTTTCATTTCATGCTTTTTTTTAAACGTATACAAGCTACTTCTTTATACTCTTTCCAAAAATCGTTTTGGCTTCAGCAAAAATTATATTGCAAGACACAATGCATATATCATTCCCTTTTTAAAACTATTCATGGATACTGAATGAAACATTAGTTTTTTTTCCATTCTCCTCAGTTAATAATGGTTTTGAAGTTGAAAATTATTCAAGTCCATCCTTACCTACAATTTCGATGATCTTTTTTAAATGATATTAGAAAAAAATTTTCATTAAAGCAAATATTCTGAATTCAATTTCGAAACATGCGCAAAAACATCACAAGCACGTGAAGATTTAAGCTTAAGTTATTTACAAGTAAATGTTTCGTGTAAAGGATCAGAAACTGTATAAAGCAATAGTAACATTCAGCAAACCTGCTATTGTTGCCATCCAAACCAGTACATAAGAAATAGCACCCAGCCATGAGATTGACATAAGGAAGGTCAAGGGGTAGGTTTTCCGCCATTTTCCTTGTCGTCTGCAGTCTGGTATTGTGATGTAGAATAGTGTCGTCATTGGAAGCATTAAAACCCAGAACACACGCAAAATCCATGTGTTTGGCATATCAAAAGGAGACTCATTCTCTTTTGCTACAATAGTTTTTAAACCAATTTATTATTTAAAAAAACTTTAATATGACACAGTGTTACAAGTATAAATATGGTGCATTCCTTTGAATATTCATATTGAAATACCCCCTCCCCCTTGATTTTTGTGCATACTACAGTAATTATGTTTTATTTTTTTCAAAATTACCTGAATTTTCGCTAAATTCAATTTCAACTGAATTTGTTTCTTTTTCTGGTGCTTGGGACTCAGTTTTCTTCTCTTCCAGCTGATCGGTGGTAGGATTCCCAACCCCCATATTTCCATTAGTTTTTGTAACGGAAGTCAATTGAATTTGACTGTCTCCCACTCCCGGTTGTTTCGTTTGACCTTGCTCTAGGTTTCCCTTAGTCATTGATTTGAATATTCCGTAGAATATATTTTCCAGCCTCGAGTTAAAGACCATCATCAATATGTATATTACATACATTAGAGATAATATAAGACTCTCATACCTATAATAACATAATGATAATATTATAACCCACGATTATTATCAATTCAAGTGAAGTTTACCGTTTCGCATTACGTCACGATATATATTTCGAAACATGCACTGTGAACATATGATTGGTCAACTCATTTGTTAACATTGATACGGAAATAGTCTGTTGCACGAGCAACCTGTCGTCATGGATAAGTAGGCATGTACTATTTTAGTCCATTTACCTTGAGCAGGTTGTGACGGAAGGCAAAACGATACACTTCACTGAAATTGATGATAAGTTCTGAACAAAGCACTATAAGTCATAATTTGGCCATAGTTTCCATGTAGATGATGCCTGCTTATATTATGTAACGCAGGTATGCTGAATATTTGCCATTATTACCCAGTTTAACGGATGCAACACTTTTATTGATCTATTCTGTAATATCATAGTGTGAAATTACTTATTATCGTGGGGAAACATTTTCGTGGTTCGAGGAAAAACTATCATGGATTGAAAGAGATTGGATTTCGTGGTTGAAGATTTGTTCAGTAATAATGTATAAAACATGCATTTTACATTTCGTGGTGGTCCTGAATTCGTGCGTCTCTTCATACAGTCTGTCATACATAAAAAAACAACGGAAATAAACTTTCACGGAAATTAGCTACTTCAGAGTTTATTGAGGTTGCATGAATGAGGATGCTTCAAAACTGATATGAATACTCACCAATGAATCTGATTGTCATACATACAAATGATAAGTACTGCTACAGATATACCGTAGAAGACACAGTCACGGAGAACGGGGTACCAGGTCAGGTGTACTACCTGGATTCAAAATAGTTTGTCAATGACTTCTAGCAGATGATATTCGTAAAAATTAGAATACATTATACAATGTTGGATTGCTAACGTTGGATTGCATGATAAATCAAAGCAGCTTTATTATCTACAGTTATATCAATTTGTACCCATATGTTGACCAAGTGTTGAGGGTAAAATTGGAATTTTTTCTGTTAGCATTTTTTCATTGAATATATTATATACATCTTTTTGATGTTGATGACCTAAACATTTTTTTTCAAAAAGTGTTACTGTGAAGAAATAGACTGACCATGCCAGCAAAAAGGCCACAAATTGCAACCACAAACAGAATGTTAAATACGGCTGTTCCCACAATAGTTCCAACCCCAATATCACTCTCTGCTATGAACACACCTAAAATTAAAAATTATTTTTTTAGATTTAATTCACGTTTGAACTGAATATGTTGTAAAGTAAAACGTCAAAATAACGAACAGTGATTTATCTTATAAATTCAGAAAGCAGAAAGGACGTGTGGAAGCACCGGAGAGGGATCAGATGCCTCAAAGGGAACATCCCCTGTCGATTTATAAATCTGATGTAAGTATACAGAATGATCTGGTAGACCATATATTCCGTAATATAAAAGCAAAGAGCTACATGTAACAAATGGTATGTAACATGTTAAGAAAATTTCGAATAAACAAATGAATAATGTTTACTTTTAAAACAAATGTATAAAGGCAACTTGAAAGGAAGACGAATTCTTCAGACGTGTTTTGAATATCTTTTGACCATTTTTAATTTGGTGATAAGTTTTGAAGCCTTAAATTGCCTTTGCTTTGTTAGTTTTACTTTACCTATAATTGTTGTAAAGAATTCCGATGCTGAACTTCCGGCAGCCATCAAAGTTGCCCCGGCAACATCCGGTCGAAGGTGAAGTTCTTTGGTAAAATATGTCGTCCATGAATACACATCTCAGCAAAATTTGTTTCAGAATTATACGTACTCAAATCAACTTATTATTTAAAAATCAAAGTAATGAATTGAAAATTTTAATTTCATTACAATAAGTACATGTAAAATCAAAAGCTAAGAATTTATAAGATTTTTTAAATTTTTAGATTTCAGTGGAGGCTCACCATCACAAATGACCTTTAAGGAGGCGCAAAAATAATCATCACAGACGATAGAGAGGGCAGCAAGAGTGTAAAGTACCAGTAGTATGTGAACGACCACGCCCCCTGCCTGAGTCTGCTCTAGAGACAGGAAATTTCCGGGAAACTCATCGATGGAGCGCTCCGTACAGTTTTCATCGCTCTCGTCTTCGTCTGTCTCTGGGAAGAAAATTTGTTAAAATCCAACTAAAATTTTGAAATTCATAGGAGAAACCAGACACAATCTTCTGAACGATACGTTCAATGATATAATTTTCACATTGTTTACGTATATCAGAGAAGAGATCATAAAGCACGGATCCATGGAAATTCCAGAGGTGGAATCAGGTGCCTAGGTGGAAGTAAGCATCCCCTGTTAGTCGGTCACAACTGCCCTTATCCTTATATATGGTGAGGTAGAAAATTTCGTGTAGAAACTCCGTATATAAAAACATGGCATAACAGTTATATGTAGTTTAAAAAGGCAGTCAAAAACCACCCAACGATAGATTATATTCGCTAACAGATTCATTAAAACGACATTAAATGTCCTCATTGAGTCAATCTAACCCAGAGATCATTCAGGATATCATAAAAAGTGACAAATTAATGAGGAACAAAGTTAAAATTCCAGTACAGTGTATATTTTTAACCTAGTCTGATGCCTATTTAGTCCCTTTTCACAACTCTATCCCTCTTACAATTCAACCCGGTCCTCTTGATGAAACTGTCTAAATCGAGGTACCGTGTCTCAGTAGGTGCTGGCACGAAAAAGATCCCTTACTGCTCAATAGCCCTAGGAACCTAGCATAAGACAAAATTTGCAGCTCACCAACGGCAAGTGGTGGCGTCTCCATATGTGTGAAAAAAGGGACATGAAACTACAAACAACCAAACTATTTTGCAATAGTATGAATATTGTGTAAGCAAATACCCTGTATTTTCAGTTTAACTGTTTTTGTAAAGTTCGTATTCTTTCCCGAATAACGTCCATGTTAAAAAAAGGTTACCTTAAGGTCATACGCAATGTACAATGTAGTTTGAAATTTATTGGGTTCTTCCCTGGAGTTGAAGAGTTCCAGTAAATTAAGGACCCGTGTGCAATACTTTTAATGTCTATATATGGAATTGTACACCTTTTCTAAAACAATTTTTGTTGAAAAAAAATCTGGAATTTATGTTTTGTAATTTTTGTGTATTTGAATAATGCAAAATTTTTCACAATTTGATATCTTTTCAAAACCCCAGGTAACGCATGCTGATTTTTTTGTCTAAGAACATGTAATGATATTGTAAGTTAAAATTTAGAATATCTTGAAAAATTATCAGTAGGTGATGTACGTTGCGTATGTCCTTAAGTTCTTAAGGAGGACATTCTATGCAGAAAGATACAGCTTTACCAGGTTATAAATGTGTGTAACTGGAGCAAGACTCGTTACACTTTTAAGCTTTGACCTGAAATTTGTACTATATGTTGCACTTTACCTTCTTGTGCCAACAGTTTTTATTTATCGGACTAGTTACACACTTTTAAGCTTATATGGCATTTTTGTCGGAGCGAATTTTAGTACGTTTATTATGTGTCTCATTATCATTATCTTGAAGATAACACTGCACATTGTGTCTGAAGGAGAATGTACGTGCACATGTACTTCCTCAAGTAATGTCCTGATATCACCTTAGGTTTCCATGTATCGTGAATATTGTTTTTTTTTTTTTTGAATAAAATATATCAAATACTGAACAGTTATCGAACTCAAAAGTTTATTGTAACAATACAAATTTGGAGCAGATAAAACAGAGACTATGGTTAAACATGGATAAAAGCATCAGTGATGGGATGTGGTGTCATGAAGGGGTAAGCTTGCCCTGTCAACCAGTCACACCCGCCGTGTGTACTTTGTCATGATGGGGCAAACAAATAAGTCCGTAGACAACTCAGTGATGAATAATGGCCTAACAATTGGTTTAAAAACCAAGTCCAAGTTTGACTTAACGCTGAAATATTCTGACTTATAAGGTCATTGCGAAAAACTGATGTTAAATATCCTTGTATCAAGAACTTTTTTGTCAATAACTTACCTCTTTTTTTTTTCTTTTTTTTCAGAAATGTTTCATTCTTGCAACCTAAACTTGTATCAAATCAACTGAGAAACAAACTGTATATGCAATGATATATTGTAACTAAAGAAAGGAAAACTAACGATAGAAAATCTAATTTTACTGTTTGTTTACCATTTTTAATAAAATTTCCAAATTTGAAACAGAAATTTTGAATTTTTGCTGTCTTTTTATTTAAAAGGATACATTAAATCAACTTTGATTAAAAACGAATATTGCAAATTGAAATATTCGTCTATTGCGTTGTAATCAATTATCAGTGTTACATGTAATATGGCTCTGTATTAAATGGGGTTAAATTTCGAATCAACAAAATTATATCCCCGCCAAACCTCAAGTTTTCAGTTGATAAAGCGACACGACAATTGGTTGTTTTATAAAGTGTATAAATGTCTTTGGTGTAAATAAATGTCGAATAAAAGGCGACAAAGCAACATCTAGATAGTTCTTTTCATGTAAAATATTGTAATAAATTCTGCTATATATGTATACAAAAATAGTTCTCCTTATAACAGGGCACTCGGAGTTCCTCGGATGACTCGTACCTCGCACATAACCTCGGACGTCAACGGTGAGTTACCATCTTGCTGAATCAGTCATGTGATCTTATTTGAATTTGTTTCAAATGTCATACATTTGAAATCGGCATTATTTTGTGCCACACTCAACATTTTTTTCTTGCTTTCAAAGCCTACTGACATGATTGTGTAATCAAAACCTATTTACGATAAAGAATTGCACAAATTAAGAAAAATTTTCGAAGGACGTTATGCAGAGCGAAATATGAAATGAGTGACAAGGCAGTTTCCGGCGGAGAAATGTAAGGATCTGATGCGTATTCCTCCACCAATCACATCCGAGGTTTGAATGGAGCGTAGCGGAGTCAGCCGAGGATTGCCGATTGATAACAGGGAGCACTTTTTTGCAAAGATAGACATAATAAAGGCATTGAAAACTGGGATTTACCTTTTCATTGTTGGTTTAGCCCCCTCCCCCCACTTTTTATTAGCCCCCCACCCCACCCCACTTTCAATTTGCTTCCGACGCCTATGATGTACATGTATAGTATAGTAATGTCAACCTAGAAATGCAAGCATCTTTTAATATTAATTTTATGAAACCAATTAATATTCACATTGTTGATATTGAATATTATTGAAAATATTAAAGCAGTATAAATAAGCAAAGGGCTGATGGCGATGGATGCCTGTTAAAAGTGACAAACTCACCATTATCAATCCGCAGCTGATTTCCAAAAGAAAAGTTAGAATCCCTCTTGGATCTGCTCTCTGAGAAATCGTTGATAGCTTCACTATAACTTGGTTTAAATATTAAAATGATTGCATAAAGCAAGTTAATCACCAGAAAAATAGAAAGTAAAAGACCAAAAAATGCGTGCTTTAAGTTTCGTCGATTTTGAAGAAAGTATTGCTTGTGATTTCTTTTAGGAACGGAGATTGCTTTTGTTAGGTTCATCTTCTTTTTTTATTAAACACGTTTAGCAGTTTTGGCGTTTGGTCGAAGTGACATGGGGGCAATGACTTGTTTAGTAACCCATCAGGTTAAAGATAATAAGCCATATGTAGGGTGCTTGTCGACCTAAAGACAATCTTAACAATTCTATTATCACCTAAGCATGTCTGTCCTTTAGTGATTCAAGGTTGATATTACTTAACGTGCTTTTTATTTGTTTTATGACGAAATAGATAAAGATAACGTTCAGTGATTAAACTCAAAGATTGCAGAAAATCGGGAACAGGGCTCAGCAAGTTAACACCATCACATTAAAAGCAAGCACCAGAGATTTAGTCGAAGGCATAGTAGAAGAAGTAAGCATCCCCTACTGACCCATCACCCCCCCCCCCCCACCCCTGAGGCCTCCGTATTGACCACTGATAAACGGAGTAGTTTTTTTAATACTTTGGTCTCACAATTTGGGATAGGAACGTTTCAAATAAACTACAAAAAATACGTATGACACATAGATTAATTTTAACGACCATAGGATTTGCAAAATGTAAAGATTAAAACAAGACAGTTATAAACATCTGTAATTTCCACTTATTTGTCAGTAGCTATATTTACTAGTGCAATAATAAGGAATGAGATATTCTCATCTCGTTTGAAGTGCCAACACCATATGCAGTGGATCGAACTAGATCAAGCGTCTCATCGTGCGCGCTCAATATTACAGAGTTCTGTTCAACAGAGCGAAGATTCGCGAGCGCTCGCCAAAAAATGTTCGCGACCGCTTGCTCTGTTAAACAAGCCTCTGGTACACAAAGTTTTGCCTTAGGACCTCTCCCATTAATTCCGTTCCAGTGCTCTACAGATTAATTAAGTGGATTAACTCTGTAGCCCAGACTAGTAGCCATTTATCCAAAACCTTCAACAAATAAAGATTGCACATGCAGCTTCAATTTAACAAATGTCAGACGCGAAAAAAAAAACCAACAACAACAGCTTTTTCAGATCGGAAATTCTATTTCGTAAGGGAGGATGGGTGGGGATTAATAACTGAAAATTTCAGAGCAGCCCCCCCCCCCCCCTTTCGATCCGATCCGATATTTACAATTCTCTCTGACCTTTTTAACTTGTTGACTAACAGATAATAAAAATAATTCTTTAACTGAAATGAAAGTAAGCGAATGTCTGAAACATGGTAAAACCACCTCAAGTCGTGAACCGGAATATAAGCTTGGAGTTTAAAATAGATCTAATAAGCCGTTATTAAACTAATTGTCCTTAAACACTGGATTTCTCACATCGGTCGGATATCTGTCTGGTACATATATGTACATGGAGGTTGAAGCAGCTTTAGAAAATATGGAGTACTTTTGGTGCATATATTATAAATTAAAAGAAAAAAAAGCCGAATACAGACTCTAATTTGTTTATGGCTAACAAAGATCTATGTACATATAGGCGTAACATTGTGTATATACGTATACAGTTATTGTCTTCTTCCAAGCACGTGGGTAAATTATGACGTATTTTAATTATTGTGTAACGTGACGTCATATTTTCCCTAGCAGGAGGTATCATTCATATGAAGAACACAGATGGAAAAAGGTAGGACCTAGAGTATGGTTTTATTCTTTATCAAAGCATGTCCAACACATGTTATTTATGTTTTTGCACAAAAATACTGTAAATAATATTTATTTTTCGTAAGAGCATTTCAAAGAAATATATTTCAATTTATATAGAGATGATATATAGATACATCCTTTAGTCCTTATGTTGTTTTGTGCAGAATGTCTTAGAATGGAAAATTTGAAGTTGCTAAGGGTCCTCTATGGTGTGTTTATATTCTGGATTAACCAATGGAAGTCGGTAAAAGGTAAGATTTAAAAAAAATAATTTTTTATTCAAAACAAAGATTGTAAGATTATTGAAAATAAAGCGTATATATACATGTTCATTTCTTAACCTATTTCCTTATTTCTATTTTTAACCAAGACTTTTGATTTACAGTCTCACATTAACCGGTAATAGGTCAATTTTATCCTGTGTTTTCTTATAGCTTGGTTTCATATGTAGCTGATGAAGGATTCAGAAGAAATAAAAGGGGGAGGGGGAAGCTCTTTATTTTCAATTATAGAAAATTTTGTAATATCAAAAGCAATTTTTTTTGTAGTAAACTCACCCGCTAGACTTTCATTAAAAAGACGTTTTTATACATCGAAATCTTTTTGTCCTAGATAATATTTTTAGTGTTTCATTAGGATCATTTGTCTAGTAAATCGCGAAAAGAAAAGATAAGACAAAATCAAGACGCCTGAATCGGATAATAAAAGGTTTTTATTGTATATTTACATTAAATGCTTATAACATATGAAGTTCGTTTGAGACAGTAGAAAACATAATTTGTGCCCCGATTTATATATATGTAGCACTATAATCATAGATCTACTTCAGGTTTATGCTATAATTAAGAGAAATGCATGTAAAAGCTGTAACAACAACAACAAAAAACAAAGAAAAAAAAACCAAAAAAAAAAAACCAAAAAAAAATCAAAAAAAAAGAAAAAAAAACATAACAAAAAAAAAAAAACAACAACAATCTTATACAACAAAAGTGTATACAATTACACTGTTTTATTCAATTCATCCAATTTCAGCTTGTCCCTTTGGATTTTACGGCACGGGATGCTTCCTTTGGTGTAGCGGAAACTGCCGGAACAACGCCACCTGTAATTCTACTACCGGTTTGTGCGACAATGGATGTACGCAAGAATACACTGGACCAATGTGCACTGACAAAAGTAAAAAAAAAAAGTTTCATCCTTTGCAAACTAAAATATACGTGTATGCATTTTATTCTGATATAATTCAAGTCCTTTCAACCGCTAGTATGGACCAATAATCTGACCTACATTCCTTGTCAAGAATTGCTAGTAAAGAATTTAAAATGCCATTTTTTTATGCCTTACATATTTATCCTTGCTCTTTTTGCCCGTAGGAAACTTTCAGTTTAGGTAGGGGTCCTGGGCGGTCACAACCTAAATTCTAAATTTAACAAATTAATGAATTTTGATTTCAAATAATCATAATTATTTACTTAGTAAGTTTTTTTTTTTTTTTTTTCAAAGTCAAACTTATAACATTTCTTTTTTTTCATTTCAGTTCCGGAACCTTTTGCCCTCGGCGCCATTGAGCTTATATTCATTATTTCCGGTGTTATTGTGGCTGCGATTGTCATCTGTGTTCCCACTACCCTGTACCTCCGGTAAAACATTCTGTACTTTCTGTATTTCCGGCCTAGTTACCAAGCAATTATTAACGTAACATCCAATATCATGTATTTTCTTCATCCAATATCAAGCCTTCTGTACATCCAGTATCAGATACTAGTACTTCCAATATCAAGCATTTTTCACGTCCAGTATCAAACTTTTGTACGTCCAGCATGAAACATTTTGTTCCTCCGGTATCCCAGATTGTGTACACCCGGTATCAATCATTGTGTACGCCCATTACAAATATTTTAGACCTCCGGTATCAAACATTTTGTAGTCAGGTATTAACTATTTAGTATCTTCTGTTTTACGGTATTAAAATTTTCGGTAACAAGTATTGTTGTAGTTCATTATCAAATATGTTGTTCCTTTGGCAGAGGCGTAGTCAGAAACTTAAAAGTGAGGGGGCTCAACTCCAGAAATTCTTTGACAAGCAAAAAAAAAAAAAAAAAAAACTCTAAAATCCTATTTCGTGGGGGGGGGGGGGGGGGGGGGGGAGTGGCCAACTTTTTCAAAGGCACGTTACTTTCAATTCCAATTTTATTCCCCACGATTCTTCGATATCACTATACTATGGTCAACAACAAGTGGGGAAGGGGGGAAGGGGCAACTATCCCTTCAATAAACATTTCCTATAGTAAAGGTAATGTTGGGGAAAAAAGTGCGGGGGGGGGGGCAGGTCTTGACGATTTAATTACCATATTACATCACTATATTATACAACTATTACTTCAAGAGAAATGCTTACTCATTTGTTGAACATAAAAAAATGCCATTAAATGAGGTTTAATTTTATTTCAAAATAGCTGTGATTCTGTTCTTCATTAAAAAGTGGGGGGGGGCACAGACATACTCTTGCCCCCCCCCCAGATCTGAAAGTGGGGGGGGGGGCTAGTGCCCCCGCTGCCCCCCCCCCCCTGTGACTACGCCTATGTTTGGTGTAAAACAGGTTCATCCGGTATTAAACATTTTTACGTTAATCAGTTTGAATTAGTAGTCTTCTATGCATTCACTTCTGGAAAATGTATGTTACATGCACTGTTCACGGTGCCCAATTATCTATCGATATCTAATTTGTCCTGTTTTATTTTTATGCGCCCGGATCAATAGATCAGAGGCGTATATTGTTTTTGTTCTGTCTGTCTGTCTGGATGTTTGTTTGTTTGAGTTTGTTTGTCTGCAAACTTTAACCTTCGCCATAACTTTTGAACCATGAGAGATAGAGATTTCATTTTTGGTATGCCTACTCAACTAATTAAGCTCTTTCAAATGACATGAAGGTCAATGACCTTGTGACCTTAACTGTGGCCTATATGCTTAAAATAGTTTTTTTCTGCAAACTTTAATCTTCCCCATAACTTTTGAACCATGAAAAATAGAGACTTCATATTTGATACGCATATTCTACTAATTAAGTTCTTTCAAATGACATCAAGGTCAATGACCATATGACCTTGACTGTGACCTATATGCTAAAAATAGCTTTTTTCGAACTTTGTTGCCACCGGGCGCATAGTGTTTCACAAACACATCTTGTTTCATTTATTTTAATTTGAATTTATATTCATATTAATTTACAATTTTTATGCATTGAATGTTTGTTATTCATATTAAGGTTTGTCTGTTTTGCAGATCAAAATATATTGGTCAGCACGGAAGAAATTTCGTAAGAAACAAATTTTTAAGACGACCAACCCTAAATAGAAGAGGTTCTATATTTTGTAAGTGTTTATAAAAAGAAAACCTGTTAAAAAATCCATTAATTTATGGCTTGAAGGGAATTAGCCAAAGGATTGATTGAACCTAATATTTTCTAAACTTTTCGGTATGATATCATAACATACATTTCGCTGTGGTATTTAAGACGGCAGTTTGCAAATTGAAAACACCCAGTATGACTAAAAGAAGTTCAACAGACCTTGAGTCCCTGTTTACATGATGCAATGTTTCGATGATTGTATGTTGTTTTAACGTGGAATCGGTTGTCTACATCACGTTTTATAACATTTTTTTTTTTATAAAAGTTGAAATACTGCCTTATTCAGATATCATCTGCTTGATCAGGGTCGCAAGAGTGGCGCAGTGGTTAGAGTGTCTGCTCTAGGGCCACGAAGTAAGAAGTTTAACCCTAAGTCGTGGGTTCGAATCCCACTGTGGGACGCGGAGACCGATTGTACGGATTAGACTGCATATATAGAAGTCCCGTGACATAGTGGGTGCTGGCACAAAAAAGATCCCTCACTGCTTAATGGCCCTAAGTGCAGAGTATAGAACAAAATTTGTACCTCTCCACCGGCAATTGGTGGCGTCTGCATATGAGTGAAAATTCTTGAGAGGGACGTTAAACAACATTTAATCATCAATCGTTTTTACAAGACCAACAACTTTGACCTTTTGAGTTAACCTAGTCCTTCTTTTGAAAAAAATTAAGTCTTTGCGATAAAATTTGATCAGTCAATTGGTGCTAGGACTTTAATATTTTGCATGTGTATTACTTACATGTATTTCAAGATCTTTATTGCGTACTTTAAATTTTTTACCCTTTGACCTTGAATATTGACCTAATTTAGAAAACATGAACCTTGACCATATTTTGAATGGTTGGTGCTTGGGCTTTCATATTAACCAGGTATATCTATTAAAACAAGACAATCTTTTGGTTAACAGCATTTTTGTTCTCTTGACCTTGGAGTTTTACTTGTATTAGGCTAGAGAAACGTTAAATTTTGTCATAGGTTGCCATACGAGGTATCAGTGTTTCACAAACACGTACATCTTGTTTAACTTATAATCGCAAAGATTGACCTACTTACATTTTAAGATACCGTTCTCGAAGATTTGGAGGTACATACATGTATATAATGTTCCCTGTCTTTCCGTCTGACTGTCTATCTAGCTGTCTGTCCACAAAAACAGCCCGGCCAAATTTGATTTCATATTTCACTTGTATATTTCTTGTGACAAGACCTCCCTTTTGGTACCAACATATTCGACCTTTTCACTTTGACCTTGGTGGTAGACCCACTTTTGCAAAAATTCACCCAACTTTACTCCTAACCATAACTTTTGAACAGCTGGAGATAGGGCTAATAATATTTCACAACTGGAGATAGGGCTAATAATATTTCACAATTGCATTTATCGTAATAAGACCTTTCTATGGGATTTTGATAATTTTGACCTTAATCTTGGAGTTTAACCCACTTTAAAAAAATAACTTTGACCATATCCTTTGAAGAGGTAAGACTAGAGGTTTCAAATTTTACAGTTTTATTCCTTGTGACAAGACCTTCCTCTTGAAATCAACAGTTTTGACTTTGACCTAATTTTGAAAACTTTAACTTCATCATATCATTTTAACATCTGATCCTAGGGGTTTTATATTTTGCATGTCTTCACAAACGTAAATTTAAAATTTTTACTCACTTACCATGGTGTTTGGTCCACCTTTTGAAAACAGTAACCTTGACCATGATTGATGCTTTGGCTTTCATATTTACCAGATATATTCATTGGCATTTCTTGAGGTATCAACATTAGTAATCTCTTGCCCTTTGAGTATGACATGAATTTGAGAAACTCGAACTTCTTGTATAAGCTGTCATACAAGGGCATCTGTGTTTCACCACAAACACACATTGTATTTTCCTTGTATATGTACGTACAACGGACTTTGTTCCGTAGTGCCATCTGATCTGGAGAATGTGATGAGAAATTCACGTCAGACGATGTCCGCCCTTAACAACCAAGTACAAGTTGTTACAAAGGATGTAGAGGTCAACGGATTGGCGGATCTACTGAGGTACGACAAGATTAACGGGTATGAGGAACTGGTGGCGGAATTCCAGGTACGAAATACATAGAAAGTACATAAATAACCCATAAGAAAAATAATTGTATGGTTTTCTTTGAATTGGCTACATTTTTAATTCCCCACCTCTGAGTAGGGCGAAATTGACATAATAAAAGAGGTGCGAAAATTCTCCAGTACACAGTATTTTTATGCCTATTCTTTTAGATGATTCCTGTCGGAGAACAGTGTCAGATTCCATGCACAGTCGCCAAGCATTATGGGAATATGTCTAAAAACAGAGGCCATGTTACAATAGCGTGTAGGTATACAAAATGGTGGTTAGCGGCAATATTCCCTGGATTATCAATGTACATTAAATTCCCTTTCTTGTTCAGAAAAAAATATGAATTAAAAATAATTCACAATTAAGTCCGTTTAGACACTGCATTGCAGGGTTCCATATCCATGATACTGGATATTTTATATTATTAGAATGATCTGTTCTTTGACTAAAATCAACAAGAACATACACAAAAGTACAATTTATAATTAACATGATTAGAATTATAATATGCAAAACTTGAATGGTAATTAAATATAAAAATAGCGAAAGTAACAGTGATTTTTCTGTTACTCAATATCCTTTTAGTATTTTTTTTATTTTTTTTAAAATTTTTTTTTTAATTTTTATTTTTTATTTATTTATTTATTTTTTTAAACAGGTGGCTCCCATCAGCCACGTACCTCCGATCACTTGACTCTACACTAATTTAGTGTTGCGGCGGTGTGAAACGAGGTATATTTTAATTAATTTATGAATTGATTAATGATGAAGAAATAATTTTCTTCATACTGCTGCAAATCCGCCTCATCAGGAGTTTATTTGCATTATGCAACATTGAGACTTTTAATGAAATTAAAAACAATGGTAGCTGCAATTCACCAATTATTCCACCAGGTCTATCGACCTATAATCTCACAAATAGGTTCACCTACAGAACGCATTAGCCAGTATGTAGATTACTTTTTGACTCCCATCGTGCAAACACTAAGCACGTATATTAGGGACAGTTCAGACTTCATTCTAAAAGTTGAACAACTCAGACTACAGCCAAAATGCCTATTGGTCAGTTATGATGTAACTTCGCTCTATACAAATATGCAATTCGAGGAGCTAATTACGGCTGTTCAAATAGCCTATACCAACTTCAACAAAGCAGAATACATTATACCAGCTCCATCTACAGCTGATCTTTGCTTTCTTTTACGACTTGTACTAGAAAACAATATATTTGAATTTAACTCTGCTTTGTATAAACAAACAATAGGATGTGCGATGGCTTCTAAATGTTCCCCATCTGTGTGCGACATTCGCCTTCACCAAATCACAGATGAAATCATCGATAAATTTACAGGGAAGAATAATCTTATATATCATGGTCGCTATCGCGACGACGGGTTTATAATTTTTCACGGATCGGAATCTGTCATTCATGAACTATTTGAAATTATAGCTAATTCACACCATCCTCTACTCAAATTCACATATGAAACCTCCACACAAGAAATTAAATTCTTAGACACTACAGTGTTCAAAGGAAATAGATTTAAAACCAGTCAAATTCTGGATTTTAAAACCTACATTAAACCAACAAACACAATCCAATATTTGGAACGTAACAGTGCACACAATTCCTCTGTTTTCAAAGGATTCATCAAAGGTGAAACAATACGCCATATGAGAAATACAAGCAATGAAATCACCTTGCTTGAAATTCTGCGTGAGTTTGGGGTTAATCTCTTAAAAAGAGGGTACGATGAAATTGAAATCAAATCTAACATGCAAAAAACGCTAATTACAGCATAGAGAAAACCCTGCAAAGTAAAAGTGACATCAAGAAAAAAGGAATTCCTCTTGTTTTCGTCACAAAGTACAACCCCTGTATACGACAATTAAAAAGAAAACGAATAAAATATTGGCACATTCTTACAAAGGATGAAGACTGTCAAAAAGTCTTCTCAGAATTACCTATTGTGTCCTACACACGCAATAAAAACTTGGGTGATATTCTCACCTCCTCAACAATTAAATGATTTGTTTTGTTATTTATGTATAGATGCATAAATGCATAATGCAAATAAACTCCTGATGAGGCGGATTTGCAGCAGTATGAAGAAAATTATTTCTTCATCATTAATCAATTCATAAATTAATAAAAATATTTATGTATTCTTATGCTTAGAATTTTCACATTTTACCAAAATTAATCCTATCGAAAACCTCCAACTAAGTTATCGCATTCAATACATAAATACAATTATTATTCTAATAATTGTTGTTACCTCGTTTCACACCGCCGAAACACTAAATTAGTGTAGAGTCAAGTGATCGGAGGTACGTGGCTGATGGGAGCCACCTGTTTAAAAAAAAAAAGAAAGAATAATATAGACTAAAAATATGATTAAAAAGATAATGGACCATTGCTGAAATTTAATTTGTCAATAAATGCGAGGGTCATTCAAAAAGTAGACAATGTTTCTTATCATCAATTTTCTTTTTACAAGATTAAAGATTAACAAATTTCAATATGTATTAACATTTATTTTGCAGGTGTGTGAAGTTTCATGCCATTTGATTTAATGGAACTAATGTTAGCTAATTTTAAAAACAACATGTTTTGTCACCATGGAGCAGGGTTACCAACATTGTAACGTCAAAACAATGTCGAGAAAATTACTCTCTCTGTTCTTTTCATACACAGTTTGTCGGGTAATCCCAATTCACAATAATGTATCCATAACATCTAACAATTGTTCGAGTAGCTGAGATTGCTGTTTTCAGATTCCTTACCATGTAACTCTCCTTTCACAACATTGAAGCTCCCAGCATGTTTCATAATATTACATGTACATGTATATTCAAAAATTGTCTTTTCCACTACATTCAAATGCACACCTCATTTTCTTCTATATTTCCTTATTCCTCCAGCATTTTCAGGGTTTGTTGTAGAGGTTTCTCGAATGCAAAAAAATTTTTTTATTGCTACTCGCCGCTCCGTGACGTCCGCTTTTTGCTCTTTTAAAAATCAATTGAAATCTATCTGTCTTTAGAAATTTCTTTTAAATGAAATTATTTGAATCTTTTGTTAAAATATGTGTACCAAAGTTTGTTGTAACATGACGTTAATTATAAACGTAATAAAGTCTACGTACTGTTTGAATGACCCTCGTAAATAACAATGATATGATATAATTAATAAATTAGTGTGATATGATTATTAATTAATAATTGTGATATAATATTTAATAAATCACTGAGATATATTAACTCAAAAAGTACTGTGATATAATAATTGAATAATACTGTGATATAATAATTCATAAATTACTGAGATATAGTAATTTATAATTTACTTTGATATGATAATAATTTAATTTCACTTGTATCAAGCAATTTCATTGGCTGAATCATTCAGAGGAACATATAACATTTTGTATAACATAACTTGCCTACGTCACAATGAGTTACGTCAAAAACGTATTACTCCGCTTGACGTTACTTTTAAAATATTGCTCAATTTGAAGCCTTTTTCAGGAGAAAATATTGTCTCATTGTCTACACTGAAATTAAATTATAAGGAATGAAGCTAATTTCAACTAATGTTATCCGATATAACAAAACTTGGGGCAGTTTACGCTTTCTTATAAACCGCTTCGCGGTTTATAAAGCGTAAACTGCCCCAAGTTATGTTATATCGGATAAAATAAGTTGAAATTAGCTTCATTCCTTAAATAAACAACAATGATACAGTATAAAGCTGATATTTTGTAGATGATCATTCGAGAGTGAAGTTGGAAAAGAAGAAATCGGACTACATAAACGCAAACTATATTTCGGTAACAGAAAAGACATATTTTTCCTATGATGGACAATCATAATTTGATTTTGCCATTTTTTTGGCTGACATAATATCGCATCTATAATTGATCTTGAAGTGTCCTATTCTCACTGAATTAACACGTTGTGTAATGATGCAAGTCGGAAGTTTACAATGCGTTTCCAAGTAGTTATAACTAAAAACTTGATGTTTTTCCTTTATTCTTACAGACAGCGGATGAATTCAAATTTATAGCCTCACAAGGTGCGTACGTTCATCATTCATAGGTTTTCATTAATAAGTGTTCGAGGTTTCAAAAAATTGGCTTAACACTATTCAGTTAAGAATATTCAATGTCCATGTTCAATAATTCTCAGTGGAGAAATATAAGAATTTTTTTTTAAAAATTAAAAAAAAAATAATTTTTAAACAAAACTCTATGCCCGGTACTTGAAAATTGTTTTTAAGAAAATAGTTTCAGGAAAAATATAGATTTTCCTAATGTCTTGTCTGTGTAAATAATTGAAAAAACCTTTCTTAATTATGATAAAGTAAACTAAATAGCAAACATCAAAATATTTTTATAATGTGCCAGTATTATTGGTGTTATCGTTGTTATATAATAGGACCAATGGAAAACACGGTGGCGGATCACTGGACAATGATATGGCAGGAGCGGATTTCTGTTGTTGTTATGATGACGAACCTCACAGAAGACAGCCAAGTATGTCACATGTACCGTATTGCAATACTGAGTAGGTATCAGATATACAAGAGGTCAAGTCCTATTGGTGCTCTTCTATGTGTAATTAATTGCAAAGCAAGGAAAAATCAAAGTATTTATAATTTTCAAAGAAATATGAATTAATAAGGACTACAAGGATACGAGACTTTGCAGTGGGCTAGATTGGTGATAAACTGTTATATGGGATAAATAAAAAAGGAAAAAAAACAAGCTATCTTTAACTTGTGAGGTTGCACATACCATTATCTAGCTTAGACTATTGTGATTTCTGTGCAAAGTACACGTGTATGGTTTGTATTCCAACAGCCCTTTGTGACATCTTTGCTAATTATGAACATGTATTCCAGCAATCCTTTGACATATTATACAAGAATATAGAATTTTATCTGCCTTGTTCATATTTTAAAAACTATATCTGATATAAAACAGAGGCCAGCAAATTAAATATACCAAATAATGAATTCTAGCATCCCTCTCTCATCTCTATCAAAAGTATGGTATGACGATAACAAACAGTAATCAAGCTCGAAGGTCCATTGAAAATATATAAATTTGGAGCATAGCAAATACGGATCCTTAAGTCCATCAGAGGCGGCCAAAGTGTCATGGAAGAAAAAGCATTCCCCGTCTGTCGATTGGTCACAAGCATCGGGTGCTACCTGTATGAATGGGCAAACAGGAAAATTCTTAATTTGTGTGGATAATATGGACTAACTATGTTGTATATGAAAAATGGCATTCAACATAGATTATATTTGCTGACAAGGTTATTGTATACAACACAGCATTTGCGAAATGTTGACTTTATACAAGAATGCTGTAACATCTTTCATTGTTGTCAATAAATAATAATTATTTCCATTCTTATGTCGACACGATCTATTCCGGTGAGCTTGAAATTTCTGACACATCCGGTTCGTATTTGAATTTTTAAGTAGAAAAAAATGTATATCATGGTTATCTATTTCTCACCTGAATTCGGAGTTTATATCTCTCAATTTATTCGAGGCCGAAGAAAATGTTAATATACGTATGAGCATTTCTAAAACGAGGTAAATTGTTGACAAACAAGGTGATGATAGAAGAATATCAGCAATTTCGTTTAAAGTCATCATTTCGTAAGATCTAAGGTCGATACAATGACCTTGTCAGCAAATACAATTTATCATTAAATACATGTATAATGCTGACTGACTTTTATCCATACTGATTGTTAGGCCATTATTTACGACTAAGTTGTCCTCATATATCACCGTTTTCACATGACAAGGAGCACACAGCGGGTGTGACCGATTGGCGTGGGATGCTCACTCCTCCATGGTACATATCGTACCTCTGATGTCTTGGATGTTTGTGTTTTGCTCAGCTCCTATTTCGTGATGTTTAACAGACTTTTGAGCTCGAATACTTTTCGTTATCTCGACATATTTCTTCGAATATTTTTTTTTCAATAGCCTGCCTCATTTTATAAAGTGTTTGAATGTAGAACATGCAGTTTAAGTATAAACTCAACTCTATATATGCAGGTGATAGTGGTATATTGCTACATAAACAGGAGACCTTGATGATAGAATTGTTGAAGTTATCACTTTTATCATATATTTTCGTGTTTGGTTATTAATGACGTTTTTTTTTTCTACAGTAAAATATTCAGGTTGAAAAAGATTTATCAGACTTGTAATATTATTATTATTTTGAATTAAAAGGGATAAATTAAAACGAACTTGGAAATAAAGAAGTAATTATATTAATAGAAACTATTAATATGAAATGAATGAAAATAATCAAATTACTAGTATCGGCATGTCTTATTTGTTTTATAGGAGAAGTGTTTTAAGTACTGGCCGAGTAGATATAAGACTCTTACTGTGGGACCACTGTCGATAGGAGTGATGCAGGAAAAGGTGTATGCATTTTATACCTTGAGGAAAATGAAGCTGGTTCACAGGGAGGTAAGATTATCATTTCTAATACTGAACGTGTACATGAATTAGCGTATTCAAAATTTAGCGGAATCAAGGTGTATATAGTGTTGTTAGCGTAATCAAGAATTAGCGCTACACATGTCCATGCCTTGTTTTGCATTAGTTAATGTTTTCTTGGCAGTATTCATGAATTAGCTCATTTTTGTACGCGCCAAAGCCGCTAAAATATGAAACTTTTTTGGTACACGTACAGTATGTGATCGATAAACACTTGTTTAAAAAACTTTTATCATTTTTTTAAATAAATGAAAGTCAAAGATGTGTAAAGATATTAGCACGACTTCTATTCGAGATCTAAACTTTGTGTAATAAGCATCTCTTAATGCGCTAATAATATTACTGTTTGCTCAAAATTTAACCTTTATTTAAAATAATGAAAAACATTTCTGCCTCTGTCAGATTATTTTTCCGTTAATTTCTTAATATGAAGGTTTTGGAAGAAATTAGAATATACGTAAAATAATTACTCTTCCAATGCATCTGATGCCTTTTTAAAATCTCACGGTGGTCTAATTTATACCCTGTTAACAAATTCGTGCTGCTTGTAAGTCCTATTTTTTAAAATCTATCACTGTTCGTTTACTCCATATATACATATTTCATTAGAAATGTATCAAAAATATATACTTCAGATTTTTTCTAGATATAAGTGTGTTTGGTCAGGTTAAAATTGCTTTTTAGGACATCGGTCGCCCTAAATTATATTATCTTTAATAGTCTTACTTTTTTCTTCATTGTTAAGATATTTATTTCTAATATCAATTATTATTGTAAACATTTGTGTGAAACAGAAAATATGAAAAAAAAATCATATACACACGTATTTTAAAAAATGACATAGAGTCAAGTAATATTTCGATCTAGGGTAAATAATATGGATTGAAAAAGTAATAAAAATTTCATTTTTTCATAATACGTTCAAGACAAATGAGAAAATTTCTCATTTTAATGCAGCATCTCCATTTGAGTGAAAAATTCTCGAGAGGGACGTTAAACAATCAATCATTTAATGCAATATTCTTATTATGTGCTTATTTTTCAGACAAAATCCTGTAGATTGCTTTTTCATTTTCAATTCACTAAATGGACCGACATTGAGATTCCCTACCCGTCAGAGCTTATCCAGTTTTACAGAAACGTGAAACATTGTCATGATGTTCAGTCTAAATCCACTATTCTCGTCCACTGCAGGTAATATTTCTTAAGCTGAGTCCAAGGGTCCTGAGAAAAGTCGAGTAAGTATATAATTCCAGTCAAAGTTTGTACTTAATAATTTAAATGTATTGTGTTTAAAAAATCCTCCAAAAATGGATTTTATGTCGTGAAAATAAGCACACCATATTATTATATCATCACTGATATATATGTGAAGATTACAATATATTGAACTAAATGACAGAAATGTTAATATCATAAATAAATTTAATAACATTCGTATATACATGCATAAATGATTATTGAGCATAATAACGTTTTATTTATTTGAATTTGTCATGTAAAGACGGACGCATATGATGTGGTATAACTTTTCTAGAACATGAAAGTGAGAGTTAGTCAGATTGAAATATTGTAACTTAATTTTCGGGTTATTTTAATCTTACAGCTCCTCAGGAAGGATAATTAACCAGACTAAGACCTGGGCCAAATTTTCTATTGCCTGTAAAATGTTTAATAAATTGATTATTGAAATAATCTCGTATCCTGTTTATATTTTCATTTTGTAAAGCAATATTGCAAAATACATGTACTTCATTTTGAAATACTTGCTTCCTACAAAATTTTACTACAATATGTAGATGTCGACTTAAGATTTTGATGTTTTATGATCCCGTGGCTAGACCCTAAAAACATAAACTGAGAACAGACCTAAATCAATTTTTTTTAAATTTTTTTAATATTTTGAGTTTCATTATAATCTTAAATATTTGTAGTTGTGCAAAACACTTCAATTCAAACATATGAAGAGAATTTTATTTATTATCAAAATTATTTGCAGTTATACCGATTTCAAATTTTGATTAACGTATCTTCTCGGTTTATGGTCTTTGGGTCCAGAACTAGTCAAACGAAACACTTTCTACTCACAGTGAAGGGGCCGGTAGGACGGGCGTCTTTATAGCTCTGGACAAACTCCATAGGTCTGGTTTAAAAGAAGGAGTGGTCAATGTAGCTAGATGTCTTACTGAAATGTGTGAACAGCGGATGAATATGGTGGAAAACATGGTATTTGCTTGTTAAAGGTCCCTCAATGTTAAAGTCTGTTGTAATAATGAGGACTATATTTCAGATTTGATTTTTAATAGACTAAATATTACTAAAATACCAAATGTAGGAAGCAAAAGCATTCAAAATACATAAATGAATGTTGGACAAGTTAGATATAATATGTAAAAGTCTTAAGTAATAATTTAATTACTGTGAGAATTCTTATATTGTTTGTTTTTTATGTATAAAAGACGTTTTCTTAAAAGGAGCAGTATATATTACTCTACCACACTCTGAAAGAATCTTTTCATCGAAATGTCCACCTTCTGAGAAAGGAAGACATCTCACAGATGCTGCTAGGAGGAAATGGAAAACAAAAAAACGAAAATCTCATCAGAAAAGAATTTTGTGTAAAATTCTGTATTTTGTATGAGTATATAATGTTTGTGAACAATTTTTTACAAGAAATTACTAACATACAGTATATTTGTTTAAAATTACATGTCTGGAACTGCTGTTAGAAAGAGGAAACCATTAACAGCAATATTTTGATTTGCTGACTGAAAATTGGAGCACTTTTTTTTCTTATTAGAATATTTATTTAGTATTTATTAAACTTATTCATTTTTTGATGTAGGAGTTAATGTCAGCAAGACCAATTTACGACGAAAGTATCAAGGCAAGAGGACTTATGAATATTAATCATAATCTGATGCCAAACGTTTTACCAGGTATCTATTTCTATTTTCTAAGAGTTCATTTGAAACTTAATTCAAGTACCAATAATTTAACAATGTTTTTGAATCCGTATATACGAGGGCTGTCCAATAAATAATTACCTCGGTGCTCGGAAAGAAGCAAAGGACGCTTTTTAATGATTTAGTCTTAATGATTTAACTTAATATTTTCTTTTAATTAAAACACATGTCCGCAAAATTTTTTATCCAATTTCTGATTGTTTGTAGAACTCATTTTTGGGTATGACCCTTAGTATACTGGAAAATGGCAGATCTTATGATTTCCTGGACTTGTCTCTTCCTTCTGAAAGATGTTTTTTCAAGTTTGGAAAATGAGACAAGTCAAACGGTGACAGATCTGACGAAAATTGTTAATTAAAAAAAAATAACTTTCTCTTTATCCAAAAAAACTCCTTTACTCTTCAGGAAGTGCGGGTTTGGACCTGTCATGAAGAAATTTAATGCAGTTGATTTCTGATTCTTATTCCTTCCTCTCATTAACCTTTTGATTCTTTTTGCAAAAAAAAAAAATGCTTTCTAAACTCCTTCAGAAATTAAACTGCCTCCCCGAATATGAATTTGAATACCAAGACCACTAATATTTAAGAAACTTGCATATAAATCTGTCTTTGTGCTCTTGCAATTCTTTGCTCTTCTCAGACCTTTGCTATTTTTGTCAAGTACATCTTATATTATAAATTTTGTTTTGAGGGTTTTAAGCAATATATACAAGTTTCATTATCTGTTTGAATTTCAAACAAACATGGATATCTACAATTACTGATTTTTAAAATAATTGTTTAGATATTCTTACACGCTGTCGTTTTTACTCATTTTCCAAAACAGAGGGTGACCCGGGGTACTAAGCTTTTTTACTGTCAAATGTTTCTTTAAAACAGTGTGAACTACCCCCGAAATGATGTGTCTATCAAATTTGCAATGAGTCTTAAAGTCAATCATACATCATCAGTGATTATTTGTTGAAATTTGTCGAACAGTACATTAGTTGTTATATTTTTTTGTTGGCAAGGACGGTACCCATTTTAGATACCCATTACATAATTTTTATAATTGAAATCCACCTGCTCATTTGTCTATAAAACAGATATTGGTTGCCGTAAATTTAACATACCTAGTATTTCACTGAATATTTCTTTGGGATTCTTAACGACTTTTAAAGCAGCTTTAATGAAGCGTTTAATTTCACTCTAAGTTTACTGATTCTTGACCATTCATTTATAATGCAGTGTCTCGAATAGCCCTTGTTTTCCAGCTTCTCACAATGAAACTATGTGATGTCACATAAGTTGTTATAAATTCATTAAAGATTCAATAATGCGAAAAAGTCAAGCTTAATGTCATATGATATCTGTATTGTATGTCATACAGTTCAGGACATTATTTATTGAATAGCCCTCGTATATTGAATGAATTTAAAATTCCTATTTCTAATATTGCACATATGTATTGGGCATACAATATTTATACCCCCTTTGAAGAAGGGAGGGCATATTGCTCTTAGTTTGCTGCTGTCAGTCATTCAGTCGGTCAGTCCACCATCATTTTCCATTCATTTTCTTCACAGAGGTTGCAAATATTGAAATGAAATTTCGTATAGAGATGTATCATGTGAATATTTAGGATAAGTTTTGTTTGGCATGGGGTACGATCGGGCCATATTGGCCAGAGTTATGCCCCTTGGACTAAGAAAAATTCTAATTATTTGTAGTTTCCGTTCATTTTGCGTTGCAAAGGTTGCACATAATGAAATGAAATTTGGTATAGAGATTTATCATATGAATATCTAGGTCAACTGTTCTGTTCTGGTACGATCGAGCCATTTTTGACAAAGTTATTTCCCTTGGACTTACAAGAACTCCAATTATTTGTGAGAGGGGGCAGAAGTGTTTTACAAACATCTCTTGTTAATATATGTAGTATATTTAGTAAATGACGTAGGATTCCTACCCATGACACAATTCACCAGTCATTTGAAGTGGTTTGTATTTCCCTGGTAGTTTTTAAAAGGCAAATTCAAAACCATTTTACATCTGCTATCACAAGAATGTAAAATGATTTTTATGTTTAAGAAGAAAAATATATAACTTCAGAATCTTCATAAACATTATTTGAAATATTACAGTATAACTTATGTAGTGGTTAACTTAAGAGTCTTGATTCAGTATCCCTTACAATGGAAATTCCTTTTATATATTGCAGTAGACGAGTTTCGAGTACCCCTTTCACCAGATGAGTACAACAAAAACGACTATTACAATGCTGTATTCTTTTCGGTACGTTTTCTTTCTTTCAAGACAAGAATTTGTTTCCAGTTGATGTTGGCATGGACATAATGTAAGTTATACCTTAAGGTCAAGATCTAGTAAATAACTTGAGACTAATTTTTTGGTGCTAGATCCATTATGACGTCATAATCAATTTCAACTTTCTTTTTCCCGTACTTTACAGCTTTAGCAGAATTGTGAAGAAAATATGGTATTTTCATGTCATTCAATTGGAAATCACATGAAAAGTAAACCGGATACCTATATTAAATTTGATATTGATTTAAAGAAGAGGCCATAAACATACTAATTACCGTTTTCTGAAAGACTGTAGGCAATCTGGATACATTTCCTTTGCCGAATACGAAAAAAACTCCCATATTCATGACTGATTTTCTTAATTTTTCATTAAAAATGACAGTTTAAAACACAGTTTTTCATCTTGTTTACCTACAAATTATGCCCCGAAACACCTTATTTGACCAAGCTAAAGTTGTAAAGCATCAATAAAGGAATTTATCTCTCAAGTTTGATAAATCTGTAGGCACCTTTCATTTACTAGATCTTGACCTTAATAACTATGATTAATTTCAATGCTATATAAAAAAACGAAACATTAAGCATATACAATATTTTTGATATTTATTCATCGTCTTAGACAATAACAGAATATAACAGCCTGATAGCTGCCCAGTATCCCGGGGAGGATACAGCGCTAGACCTGATACGACTGTTGGTGCAGCAGAGGGTGTCAGTGGTAGTCACTGTTCACCCACTCATTGAACTACTCTCGGTATCATTCATGAATATTTAGAGAATCAAAATGTATTCATTGGTTGAAATTTAGAAATAAAAATATATTCCATTGAATTGAAAAACAGACATAAATATTACTTTGCCATGATCTGATGATAAGAGATGGGTACATGTATTTTAATGAAGGTAGTATTTCATTATATATTTACTAAATTAAAACATCATCTTTGAAAAAAAAATTCCAGATTGAAAAAATTATAATAATTAATTGCAGGGAATCCTATCATCGAATTTCGTAATTTGTTACATTTATCTTTGAGAATCCATACATCTTTTATTACTATTTAATATTTGTCTTCAGGTTGTAACGTGGTTTCCTGTGGAAACTTCCATCCTTACGCCTTTTAGAATACAAAGAGAGGCAAACGAACAAGTTACAAATGAAGTTCAGAAGTCTACACTTCTTATAGAAAATTCTATTGTAAGTAAATCTAATATCTGTTTAATATCATTCAAATCTCTGGTATATAAAAATCACTCGTCAAATAGTTAAAAAATATTATTTGATGATTTTCATGAAACTATTATCGTCATTGCTACATGTACTCTGTATGTATGAGATATATGCAGATAACGAACAGTCTTCAAGATCAAAAAGTTATAAAACAATACAAAATAGGAGCAGAATGAAGGATATGGAGATAACGAACAGTATTCCATATCAAATTCCATAAAACAATACAAAATAGGAGCAGAGCAAACACGGACCTCCCAAACATCAGAGGTGGGATCAGGTGCCAAGGAGTAATGAGCATCCCCTGCTGACTGGTCCGTGTGCTCCTTGTCATGATTGGGAAATAACGGAAAAATCCGTCGTAAATTCAATACGTTTATAACCGCCTAGTAAATTAGAATGAAAATGTCAGTCAACATTTGACTTAATGATAAACTGTATTTGCTGACAAGTTCATTGTATCAAACATACATGTAGATCTTTAGAAATAATGACTTTAAACGAAACTGTTGATATTATTGTTTCCACAACTTGTTTGTCTGATATTCATATCCGACTCATTTACACCAAATGTGATAATTTAAATGACTATAATGGTAGCAAATTTGTTTTCAATTGTTGCTTAAAAGGGTCTTATAAAATTTAAAAATATAATTTTTTGGATTAAGAACGCTGAACTGCATCGAGTCCATGTGTACGAGATTCTGTCATGGAGCACAAAAAACATCATACCACATGACACAAAGCTATTAAGTACAGTCATCACAGAGGCTAGTAGATGTAGGGAACAGGAAGGAGGGGGACCTATTACGGTCATGTCATAGTGAGTTCATTTCATTATTACACCAAAATATTCTCATAAAATGATACTTTAGTCAAATTCCACTTAATATCTATAGTTCCTGTATTTTTTTTTAAATTTTTCTAACAAGTAGAGGTCAAACTAAAAGCTAATAAAGAAAATACTTATAATTACTTTTTTGTAATAACGATGCATTATTTGTTATAGTGACGGGGCGGTAGGTTGTGGGGTATTTATAGCTGTCTATAACGCCATGGAGCAGTTGAGAGAGGACGGAGTAGTGGATATGTTCAGTATAGTACACGATATTCACGTCAGGCGGCCAGAAATGATGACCACAATGGTAAATGTACATATACAGTAAAACACGCTTATAGCGAACACGTGTGCTTATAATGAATTGACTCTTATAGCGAAGTGATTTTCATTCCCCGCTAATTTAAACATATTGTGAAGGTATCGGGTATACATAACGAAGCAAAATAGCCAAACCCTGGAACTCAGTTGTAAGCGTGTTTTGGTAATATTTTCGACAATAATATGATGAGGGGGACTTCTTTCCATAATCAGTGCTTTATAAAATATTATTTTTGTGGTCTTTTTTAGGAAGAATACGAGTTCTGCTACCGCGCCATTGCTGAATTGTAGAGGATGTTGACAGATGGTACTTTCTGCGGTACAACTCTAAATATAGATTAAAGTCGTGACTGTCCATACCATTCAACTTCTTAACGTATACTGAGGATCCTGTTATGGTTTTACTGTAGATTATGCAAATGTTCATGACTGTGTAATGCAACTTCACAAAACCATTCTGTCCCAGAAGAGTTAAGACGTTGTTCCCAGTATACCTGTAATCCTACAAATAGGTGAATTTTCTGTGATCAATATTTTAACTGGACAAATGAATGATAAAGGATCAGGAAGTTGGACAATGCGTTTCCATATGATTGCAACAACATCAAAAATTGAAGAAATCTTTCAAGCCAACAATGTGCAAAATGAGATGTTTATTGGTCAGCAATAATCCAAATAACAATGTTTTAACTTGTTTACCTGACAATTAATTAACAATTGGTTGCATGTAGAACTTCGTCACATTAGCATATTACTTTTCCCTCTCTTTTTGTGTAACATAAATTGAATTGACCGGTATTTGAACGAGCTATATTAAACAAGAGCTAGACCAAGATAATAATGATTCTTCAGAACAAAATTACAAGCTAGCCTAGTAGTATTTGTAAAGATGGCTGTTGTCCATCGTGATCGCGGGCAACTAACGTATTACTTCTGAATCACTCTGGACATCGTTATCATAAGCTTGACAAACAAGGTTAGTGTAAGACCCAGTTAACCCCTGGAATGGGGTTTTCTCATAACAGTACAAGAGTTCGTAATCAAAAAGCTCTTGTGAGGATCATGAGTATAATAAAATAGCATTCACTTGAAGATCACAAATTTCTTGACTTTCCTTTTCTTCAGTTCTGTTCTATCATTTGAAAGTAATTACCGGTATTGTAAACTTTCACAATTTTAACTTGTATTTTTTTTTAAATCTCAAATCAGTCCCTAACCAAATTCTGTCGTCTTTGCCAACATGGGGTAAATGCTATATTTTTTTTTTTAAATGAAAGAAAGTGAATCTATTATTTGAAAGGTTTTATTACATGAACTACGATATATAATTATTTTGTTAGATGGGCTGGTACAATGACCTATAAAATCTTTTGATTTTTATCAGAAAAGACAAGTCAACCCAATGTATAATAGTAATAAAATTTTGAGCGGAAATGCAAAGTTACTATTAGGATTCTTAATAACTAGGAGTAGGAGCAATAAAATTGGTAAGGCAGATACGTAAAAGAGCTTAGAGCAAGACCCCCTGTGGTGCATAATGGAGCCCATATATTACAATCATGGGTTTACCTTGATTGGAGGGTGGCACCAATTCGATAGGTATGTGATAATGGTAAAACAACCAATAAAAAGTACTTTTATATGCGGGGCCATGAAAACTATCTGAGTATGCCATGAAAATGGGACCTTTTATAGTCTTTCATATTTTTTTTTATCAATTTGGCTTCTTACATATATATGACTATGCATTTGTTTTAATTGGTGCATTTCAGACTATTTTAGACATCCCACGTTTCCAACTGTGGTTGATTTTGCATAAATGTACCACTAGCCAGTGAAGATAGATGAAGAGTTGTGTTTCTTTGATCAGACACGGGAACTTGCAATTGTTGCCATCTTTAGACGGACCCCCCCCCAATGCTACGTGCCTGAATCTGTATCGATATACCTATATGTCACTTGTGAAAAGATCGTCTTTACTTAAATAATCAACTCAAGGTGGAGTTTTAATTTGGGGGGGGGGGGTGCATTGAACGTACTACTGTCTTTTCCAATTTGTTGAGAAGTTTATTTATAGTTTTATAAATTAAAATTAACATAAAATTCACAAAATGTGGTCAATGTACCAACTACATACATGTACGTGTATATAAGGGTTTACTGAACCAGTCATACTATTGAGAAATAATTAAATAATTTCATACATGTAAATCTGGGGGAAAAAATCTCATTTTTGTTCCATCCGGTGGTCTAGATTGAATTTAAATAATGTAAAATTCATTATGCATATCGAAATGCTTTACAAACCCAGAAAAGCGTGAAATTAAATTTTTGACAAGTGCATTTTTTGAAGTATACCACTTTACCCCGTTTGGTTCTTGACTTGTATCCTTCTAATATCATTTAAGTATCTTTTCTTTTCTTTTTTTTTAATGAACGATCCATTAACTCTGACGACCTTTCCAAGATTACTATCAGTGATTGATACGGTCAAAATAATTATCCTTATACATTCAGCAAGAAACTGTTTTGTACGTACATATAACATGTATATTATACATTGCAAATATCCCTGGTATATACATTTATATGTTCAAAATATTACACAAACACAGTTTTATTTCATATAAATTATAAATAAAGAACCATCTGTGTAAAGTATGTACTGTTTCAGATCCATTGCCTACGGTTATGTGTATACAGTCTAGCCACTTAACAAATCAATTTTTAATGTCAGTTCATGTATTTTGAAGCAATCTTAAGAGATAACAAAAATATTTACCTACGGGAATGCGATATTTCTGTATTTATGATGAAAGACCTCTTTTTCGTAATTACCTTTATCAAAATAATCATATTTAACATTCTCTCTCTCTCTCTCTCTCTCTCTCCTAGCTCTTACATTTTAATATTTAAAGGAAATTCTCATATGCAAGCTGGGCATCTAGCTGTCAGCGATTTTTAATCGAGCGTTAACAGAATGTAACACAAATTCTGAAGTGACACACACGTCTTCCCAAGGATTAAGATTCATTCATTTCACTTCAGTACACACAAGGTCAATGATTTCAAGTGTGTATCTACTGTATGTTTTGTCTAGCACCTAACTGCATGGTGTTTTGGGAAGTCCATTCAAAACTTTGAATAAATTGCTTGTTAACGAAGTGCTATAGACTCGATCCGTCTCTATATCTTAAAACTTATCACCTATATATTAATCCTGAAATGAATTTTTACATATGGGTAATTTTATACGCACCTTTTACATATATATATATATATACAGTCATGTAACTTGTATTAATTTTTTGTGAAAATATATGTAAAAGTCTTGAAATCAATATTAATCGAAGATAGAACATTGCAATTGCTCAGTACTCACAAAACACTTTAAAATGCAATTCAGGTTCAATGAGAGCACCAAAAGAAATTCATGTTTACATGTGCATTTGTTATCTCTTACACTACCTTGCCTATATAATTGCTTAACCATGCAATGTGAAAGGATACAGGAAAATGAATCAAAAATTAAATGTTACCTAAAAACTTTAAGAACAAGCACATGTATAATTAATGTATTTTTCAAAATGAAAAAAAAAACATCATAAAATACAGACGTAAGATAGTATAGTTTTACTGTATATATGTATGCTCACCCCCCCCCCAACACACACACGCGCGCGCGCGCCTCCAGAAACCTCTTACAATTTATTTTCATATTTTAAAACAACGCCCATAATATATAATTTTTGTTTTATTTTATGGTTTTGTTTTCCCCATCATTTTTTGTCATTTCATGTTTACAGAAAAACATTCTTCGTGCGTTCATGTAGTTGATAACATCGTAAGTGATTTTTATTTTTGTTATTTCATATAGTTTAGATCTTAAGAGGCGCTTGTAAGACATATGACTTTGTATACTTGGGGGCCAGAGGTCTTAGATTTCGCTTTTTATATGAAAATTGTGAAACCTACATGTAATTAGCATGTAGCCTATATAAAAGTGTGCAGATAGTTATTTATATAAGGGTGACTTAATGATAATAATAATTATATATATATATATAAAAAAAAAACCAGTGTGTATAAGGTTTAATATATTTTACAAAATGATAAAATCTTTGACACTTTATAAATCATATGGAAAGCGGGGGTATCATTTATAAAATATTAATATATTATATTAATAATATTGTATTGTATTGGTACAGCATTGAAATGTATAGTACTGTATTGTATATTGTCAGTGTTGGTAAAAGTTTCTATAATTTTAATTTCAAACACTTTTTTCAGCAACCCTCGTATGATTTTCAGCTAACCCCTCCTTTTAAAAAAAATTGAGAAGATGCAGGATGATTCAGTGTGGTATGTTATATGTTTTGTTTATTGGGTGAACTTTCTCCAACCTTGCTAGATATCACAGAATGCATTTATTTAAAAAAAATTGTTTGTTTACTCACCATGTGCAACACACACAGATTGACAGAGGAGAAATTCATTTGTATATATTACAAGCCATCAATGTTTGTTTTTAAAAATTTTTGTTTCACCATGTGCACTTTTTTACATACACAGATTAATAGAGGATAAATACATTTGTATATATTACAAGCCATCAATATATGTTTTTAAAATTTCTTGTTTCAGGAAAATAAAAAAAAATCATTTCGATCATCAAATGGATTCATAGAATGCATGATCAGATATTAAATTTATGGAGAAAATGCTTTTAACATAATTATAATAGACTATAAAATATTAATTTATTCTCGTCCCCAAAAAGTACATTTGCAAACATTTCATGGAATTTAACTATTTATTCTAAGTAATCTTTATCTATATTATATATGACTGTGAAACATGTACATGAAATCGAAGAAGGAATGTGATTTTAAGGAATCCCAGCTAACTAAAAATAGATTTTAAAATCGCGGTCAAGGATTTAAAAATTTTGAAAAAGGAGAACGCATAAAATCGGGGCGTTTTAAGGTTTGTTTGCTTAACTTTAACACGGTAAGTTGGGTTATATTATCATCCGAGTTATAAGAGAGTGTAGCCGGACTTGTTTATTGAGCGCATATCATTCGGTTATGCCCAGATGTGTATAGTGTGGGATTCCATGAATTCCTGAACAGTTCAGGTTTATCTATTGCACCGAATCTGTGCGCTTAAAATACAAGTTGAAAAAAGGACTGCCATTATTAAGCAGATAGATGACTGTGCGTTTTGTAATTTTGAAATACACGTGCGCGTCGTCAATTTAGAAAGGTAGGTACAGTATATATAATTTTCAGTTTCGGTTCCTATCTTGGCGATCTAAAAATAAATTGAGTGATTCCCAACGTAGGTAATCGGGGAAAATAAATAAACAATAGGTCTAGTGTATACAGTGTTCAGGGAGAAACCTTATCCAGGTAAATCTCAGGTAGACAAGCCATATTCTTCCTCATTAAGGGAAGGTGCTCTGTCATATAGTCTTGTAAAAGAATTAATAATATTGGGGTTGACCCCACCTTCACTAGTACTGTATTATGAGTAAGATGTCATGACATCACTTCAAAATTTAAATGACTCGATTTTTAGGCGCAGTTGGACTTCCACCGCAAAAACATTACCCGTAGTACCCTTTAACTTTTTAATCGGCGTAAATCAGGTCAAGTTTTAACAGTTGAGCAGCTGTTTAGTCAATGATCATGGTCTTGAAAACAAAAAAGATAGAATAAAACAGACATAATTTACGGTTGCGACACAGTCCGATGATAGTGCTTCCAGTATTGAAAAAAAAAATCCATGTTTTTTATTTTTGGATTACCAAAATCGATAGATTATCTTTTCGAACAGAGACCGGAAATTCTACTTTCGGTTTCATCGCACGCCACCACATTTATTCCGTGAGTCATTCTACATGAAGTGTGTCTTCCTTTACAGATACAGATAAAGGCGTGATGTTGAGAAAAGAAACATGTCTACTGCTTCTTATAATTCCTGTGATTTCTGGATTTAATGTCGGAATCAAAGGAGCCAAGATTTTGACCGGAAGTCGTGGGTCAATGTTGGGCTACTCGCTCGATTTTGCTACCAGAGGGAACAATGTTTGGTATGTTGAATGTACATAACTCAGGAAATGCCTTATTCGTTTATCTTGATGTAAAATTAATGTAGTTTGAAGGACTTCCTTATATAGTTCCTACATGGATAAAACATTCCTTCTTCCAAATTTGATGAGTCCACACGTACCCCACCCCCACCCCTTGTAGATCATCTACTTTCAGTTTGAGATTTTATTTTATTATGAAGTATTTCCTGATTTTTTTCTCAAACCCTTTGCTTTGAAATAAAAAGTTAACCCTGCAAGATATTATATGAAATGGGTCAAGAATCATTAGGCCTATATATATTACATGAATTATGTTATGTAGAAATGTGTAACATGTTATGTGCATGCAATTGTTTATTAAATTGCATCTAAAGTAGTATTTAACTGATTAGCTAAGGGGTGTCCACACTGTGGCTTGAACCTACAACCCTCACGAAGATTTTTAAAATCCAATGCTCTACCGACAGAGCTTTAAGGGTTATATTTTACCCACTAGCTATTAAGTATTAGCTACTATACTGGAGTGCATGTGGCCTCACTATATTTACCATGTTTACTGTGAGCTGTACATTGACTTTGTTACAATAGGAAACATTTAACTATGATTACATAGTAAGAACACGAAGAAGGATGTTTTTCATTGCATTCCTATATTGAGGAATGGTATCTAAACCATATTATATTTATAATGAAGGTTTTATTTGGTGAAATTAAAAGATTTTAGCAATTTGCTTTGATAAATTGAAACAATTGTTCAATTGATGTAGAAGTTTGGGCTATACAGACCACAGATAACAGCCTGCAGGGTAGCTTAAATTAGTAGAGAGCATAAATCTAATATAGGGGTGCCAGATTCAATTCCCTGTCAAGCCACATATTTTCTATATGTATTTCTCGTTTCCTGCTTACATTTGGTGGCATTGTTGGGAAGGCTGGGGCTGAATAGATATTAAAGTTAGTATGTCAAAATTAGTAAGTGCTGATAGGACCCATGAATTTGTGTCTTCGAGGTCAAAGACTAAAAAAGAGAGAGGAATGTAGAAGTTTGGGCTATAAGGGGTGTGGGTGTTGCCTGGGTGCATGACTTCCGTTATAAGTGGTAAAGCACCTGATTTATAAGTATATGCAGGGATCACAGGTTTGATTCCCTTTCCAACCATGTATTTTCTTTATGCATGCATTTCTCCTTTGAATTCCTACTTCACTTTATATATACATGTATTATTCTGTTGACATACATGTACATGTATTTGGACTGAATCATTACATTCCCCAACTTCCTAAATTCCATTGATAGCTATAATCATAAAAGTAAGCTTTTATTAGATTCTGTCAGAATAAAACATTTGTTGATGTCTATATCTCAATTATAATAAACATTTGAACATGAATAACACAATATATCTGGCACTTATACATGTATACTCATGTTATACATTTTAAAAAGTTTTAGGGATGTATTTGTAAACTATTATCTTGTCTGAAATTGGATTTAATTAAGTGGTGTTTAGCTGTACATTGGGAACTCTATGGACTACCATACTCCTGATAGCACTAGGTTTATAGAGTAACCCTTTAGCAGCTGTGTGATTTTTCACATTTAATAGGTAATTTAGGTTGAGTATTAATTAAATTTTTAAATAGAGGACGTACATACTATAGGTTAAAGTCGCAATATGGAGATACCCTGAGCAACATCTAATTGGTTATAAATATTAAAGCAATATATGAGCTGCATTTTTGAAAATTTTTATTTTGCTGTTATAATGTGTTACATGTATTATGATAAATTTGTATGTAACTTAATCCTTTATGATCAATTAAACTCAAACAAAGCAGGAAAAAGACTAATCTTCTATATACAATCCAATATACAGTTTTATATATATTTATTTTACGATTGATTTTTAAAAGTAAAACATATAATTGAAGAGATAATTGTCCCCCTTGATGGTAACACTTGTGGTCGTCCAAGCTGATGGAGGGACTGGGGCGGATAGCCGTTTATCATGTTTATGAATGTTCTAATTTTGACCCAAAAATTTTAACTTTACCATGTTTATACTTCAAATTGTTTGTTTTATTTTTTATTTTATTTTTAATTTCTTTGTTTTTTTGTTTGTTTAATTTGTAATTGGCTCATGAATTTTTTTTTTTATGTTAAACAGGTTATTGGTTGGTTCACCAAAGGCAAATGATTCTACAGCCGTGCCGACAGGAAGCATGTACTACTGTAAGCCGGCCGGACTGAGAACTCTGGGGGACTGCGGGGAAATAGACGTCAAACGCTTCGCTCGTACGTACAGATTTTGATTATTCGATTTTTCTATAACATTTATTAAATTTAATTATTCACATTCTGTTTTATAGTGCTTTTTATAAGTACATATTAAGCAAATTGAAACACCTTTCTTGCGGAAAAGATATTGAACTGCAAGTTTTTTAGCTCTACTGGTCAGAGACCAGAAGAGCTTATGCGATAGTAAGGCGTCCGTCGTCCGTCCTTCTGTCTGTCTGTCTGTCCGTCTGTCTGTAAACAATTTTTCAAAACGCTACTACTCCTACAATTTTAGTCTGATTTCAATATTACTTGGCACACAAGTAGACTACACTAAGATACATAGAATAGTGCATCGGTTTTTGATTTCGATGAACGGTGTTGCCATGGTTACTAAAAATAGAATTTTCTGTGAAATTCCGTTAAAACGCTACTCCTTCTACAGTTTTGGTCTGATTTCAATATAACTTGGCACAAAAGAAGACTACACTAAGATACATAGAATAGTGCATCGGTTTTAGATTTCGGTGAACGTTGTTGCCATGGTTACTAAAAATAGAATTCTCTGTGAAATTCCTTTAAAACACTACTCCTTCTACAGTTTTGGTCTGATTTCAATATAACTTGGCACACAAGTAGACTGCACTAAGATACATAGAATAGTGCATTGGTTTTTGATTTCGATGAACGGTGTTGCCATGGTTACTAAAAATAGAATTTTCTGTGACATTCCTTTAAAACGCTACTCCTTCTACAGGTTTGGTCTGATTTCAATATAACTTGGCACACAAGTAGACTTCACTAAGATACATAGAATAGTGCATTGGTTTTTGATTTCGATGAACGGTGTTACCATGGTTATTAAAAATAAAATTTTCTGTGAAATTCCTTTAAAACACTACTCCTTCTACAGTTTTTGTCTGATTTCAGTATAGCTTGGCACACAAGTAGACTACACTAAGATACATAGAATAGTGCATCGGTTTTTGATTTCGATGAACGGTGTTACCATGGTTACTAAAAATAGAATTTTCTGTGAAATTCCTTCAAAACGCTACTCCTACAATTTTAGTTTGATTTCAAAATAAGTTGGCACACAAGTAGACTACACAAAGATACATAAAATAGTGCAATGGTTTTTGATAAGTACAAACCAGTAGAGCTACAGTCTTGACAGAGACTTCTGGTTAAAAATTTATTTTGAAAAGGGGGAGGGGGTGGCAACACAGGCACTTGTTCTGTACTCAGGGCACCATCTCTACTTATTTTTACCCCATATACAAAACAAGTGTCTGTGGGTGGAAAGCTGGGAGTGAGGTGGGGGGGGGTTGATTTGTTATCTTTAGATACCTTGGTCATTGAGTTGAATACATGTAACTGAACAATTTTGAATGTACAGGAAGAACTTTTAAGTTAAAGAATTCAAAATGTTTTTGTATGTGATAAACTGTCGAAGGTTATGATTTAATCTAAAATGTTTGCCCCAATTTTTTTCTTGCTACAGCTGTCAGTCCAGGTGGAGGGTTCAGAGAACACCGCACAGAAATGTGGCTGGGTTCCTCAGTAGATGTTGGAATGGTTGCAAATGCAGTGACGGTAATTCATTTTAAAGCTTATCAGTTACCATGGTTACTGTAAACCAACGTTTATTCACGTGTGAGAAATATCTGCGAGTTTCTTGACCAACTCTATTTTGCGAATATTAATTGCAGTGCTTTGTATTTATAGAGAATGTTTCCTCAGTTAACGTTGTGAAAATTTATTGTTGTGGATTGTTTTAAAACTGCAGATGATAGGAATTTTACATTTAGTTGGTTTACAGTAAATAACTGAGGTATCCAGAGAGATGTTCAACATGTACAAGTATAAAATAAGATAAAATTTGTGAGCTTATTTTTTTCAAAATGTAGAGTTGAAGTTCAATCACTGCAATATGCACATTTCAGTCAGATTTCACTGCTTTATAGTGGACTTTACCCCAACTGGACTAGGGCACAATTTCTCTCTGATTTTAGTTCTGCGGACCACGTTGGATGAGAGATTCCTCAGATAGTAACGTTCGCGCAATGAACGGACTCTGCTACGAAGTGCCATTTGGATGGCTAGAAGGAGATGACTCAGGACTCGTAAAGCCCATTGTTTTGGTTGGATTGTACAATTCCGATCTGGCAGACCAGTTTACAATAGCAGATCAAGCAAAATTTAACCAGACCTTGAAGTATGGGGTATCCGCATCAGGACTCTCCATTAAGTACTTCAATGAAGAAGTAAGCAGTATTCTTCAAGTCTAATGACTAATAACTGTTTGAAATATAGAATGAATGGTTATGACAGGGACATGGCTTGGCTCATATTTTAGAATTTTTCTCAAAACACAATAATCTCTTTGTTTCTAATAACACAGCTGCAGTAACATTGCCTTCTTCACCTTTTTTGGGGGTGAGGGGGTAGGAGTGAGCATCAGAGGGCTAAATAATTGTAGCTACAATGTCCAATTTACTCATGTTACTAAGAACCTAAAGAGATACTTTATTAATTCTTCTAATATTATGGTTCATGATTATGATAATGCTGTTTAACCTTTGTATAGTACATGATTGTGCATGAGGTTTTAACTTTTATGATAATTAAATTCATTTTTTTTTCAGGTGTTAGTAGGATCTCCAGGTTTAAATGAATTTGCAGGTAAGAAAATTAAGTACATGTTCTATTCAAAAAAAAAAAAACACCAAAAAACCAAAAAACAACTTGTTGTTAGGACATTTTACCTTCCACTCCTAAAAATAGATTACATTGATAGATTTTTCAAAAAGAAATCTCCCTTATTTTTGTGATAGATTTTAAACATGCATTTTCCTTCCCGTAGCTAAGAAATATTGTAAATCACAAATTTTCGTGGCATTTCAATTTTCATTGTTTTCGAGGCATGAAGAGACCCACAAATTCATGTCCAAAATGAAATGTAAAATGTTACATACATAAATTTGAATTCCCACGAACTAAGAGTTTTTACTCAAACCATGAAAATTTGACCCCATGGAAATATGTGATTTTAAAGTACTTTGATGATAAAAAAATACATACCAGGTATCTCATGCATGGACAAAAATCTTATCAAATCGCAATACATGTTGGTCTGGAGCTCCTATATTTAGCTTAATTATCAAAACTTTTTGCTGAAATAGAAATAATTTCGCTTTGTTTTTCACTGTGTTCGCAAGTGTTGATTTGACACCAAAAAAATGAAAAATTAGATGACTAAATAAGTCTTGATGTATCATATTGGTTTAAATATTGTAAACCAACTTGTATTAGCTATAAATAAATATCTGCGAGTTACGTAAGCCAGAGCTTGCAGAAATACGCATTAAATTTTACAAAATACGCATTGAAAATTAAAATAGAGCATACAATTACACATTAGCAATCATAGATATGCATTACACCATGAAAGTACTGCATGAAACAAGTTGAAAAATACAGGTACGACTTACTTAATGATACAAATTGAGGTTAACTCAGTGTTTTATTTTTCTCAAAAAAAGTACAGATTTAAAAAGCCTTCTAGTGACCAGGAATATTTTGGAAATGACGACGACAACTCCATTTCGGGAGGAAGAATCGGAGATTTAGATTAAAATCAATTTCTATGTAGAAAGACTTTGCACTTGGCAAAACTTTTTTTCATTATGGTTTCATAGCCAATTTTTCATCTCCCTCAATTTGCCATATTGACAAAGATTCTTTTCTCCCAGTTTACTCTTGATACGATATCTTAAATGAAGGAATAGTTTTCTGTGTCTCTGATTCTATTGTACCTTGACCTACTGTATAATCATCCTTGTCAAAAAAGAATGCTTCTAAATCTTAGCAAAAAGTCTTGTTGGTATTTGCAAATTTTATTTAAATATTAAATGCAGGAACTGACCTTTGAAGTTTTTTCCAGACCCTCTTCAAAAACACATACTTCAATTACAAGCTCAAAATCAAAATAAAGGTCAAAACATTTATATATAAACAAAAATACTCTTCAATCATTTTGCTGAAAATCAAAATCTGCATTGATTTGAAAATCAGGGAGTCAATACACTTTAGGGTAAAAAATTATCTGGATCGAGCTCTGTATTTTTTCTCTAAAGTGAATCGCATCCAACAATTTCTTTTGCTTTGCATTCATAAAGAAATTTTCCTCAGTTGTGAAAATTTATGGGCGCAGTTTATTTCAAACTGACAAATTAAGAATAAACAATAACACAAACGATCGATTGTTAATTTACAGTTAATTGTGTTAATTTGTCCTTAATCGTAATTATAAAAATTCTCTGCATAACAGGTGGAGTCCTCAATGTGAAGGGAGCTACATACACACCAGAGGAGGAAGATACAACTGAAGCCAAACAGGGGCAGATGTACGGTAAGTAATTGATATATACCATGATATACTGTACAGCAGGAAATTCACTTGTGGTGTTATATTTGTAATATTCCGAGGAAAAGAAATTCTGCCAATTCAACATACAGTGAATAATTCTATTTGAAATTATCTTATATTTCCATTTCTGATTTTTTTCTCTGTGATAACTCTTTGAAAGTTAGGGGAGTTTATTTCTTGATAATTCTACCGGAATGTAAATTAGGCAGGTTGATAGGTCAGGAGCTAAGGAGGCCTAATATGCATGCAAATCTTGTGCACATCTGTCTCTGTGTCTTACGCTAAGGAGGCCAAATATGCATGTAAATCTCGTGCGGCTGCCTTTGTATTAGATGTCAGTGGGCAAGGACTATTGAAATTGGCATGGGAGTCCTCTTGTAATTAAAATCGATAAGTCTACATTTTTAAAGTTTAAATCTATAATTTTATTTCACAATGAAATGGAAATATAAGGAATCACTGTCTAGTTAGTATAGTATGTCAGGGCATCAACAATAGTGGGAAACATGGGATAATTTGCATAACGGGCAAATCCTTAAATATACATGTAAGAAGATTATTTTCATAGTTTTCATTGGCTGACAGTACATCACGTGATATTCCTCCTTTTGTGATACTAATGCGAAAGCGAGTCTGTGGAAAATGATATCGCACTACACGCTTTCGGCTGCACTAAAGTTACGTAGTATGTGACGTCATTATGTAAGAATTAAGCTTGAATTTAACCATTGTGACTTAATGACAGCCAAATCTGTGTAGTTATGATTGTGTTAGTGCATTCACTTTGAGTGATTATATAATATAACTATATTATGGACTTCAGTGGACGGTCAATATGTGGTTTTATTATACCTCTACTGTAATTACTCTATATAAAATTAATACCATAAAACTGTCTATTTCCCCGAGAAGAGACTACTACCCTCAGCTGAAGACTACTCCCTGGAAAATCAGAGCTACTCCCTGGGACTAGTCCCTCATGAATATATATTAGTAATTTTAACCAATCAAAGTGTTCAGAAGGCGGAGCATTCAAGGAATCTCGAGTCTGTGACATCATGTTATTAGCAATGTAACTATGACGTCAAAACATTTCGACATGCGATGCCAAAATCATACTTGAATTTTAGCAAAATGAAGACAACGATAATTCTTCAAAATGTCACTTAAAATATTTTAAAAATAATTTAATTGTTTTAGGACAAGATGCATTACTTATCATACAATGTATTAAACCACATGCATGTGTAATTTTGCCTCTACTTTTTTTTTTTTTTTTTTTTTTAACGTCGGAATATCTGGTAAAAAAATTAAATTGCCTATGATTGTTTTGGTATAATAAAACAGTTATGGAATGGGAACTCAGGAAATAGCAAATTTATTTTTCCCCTCGACAGGAAACTATTTCCCTCGGCGGCTTCGCCGCCTGAGGAAATAGTTTCCTTCCTTGGGGAACCATAAATTTGCTATTTATCTCGTACCCATTCCATAACTGTATAATATATAAGGACTCATGGCAATTGATATTGACCTCAGAAACAGAGAATGATAGCAATCTCGCAGGCTTGGTCAGTATCACTTTCTGTGTCTTCAGTCAATATCAATTGCCATGAGTACTCATAACCACATATTGACCTACACTGAAGTCCATAATTGTATAATATGAAGAAATCGAGACATTACTGTTATTTGTGTTTCCATTCAAACAAAAAAACAGCAATTAATATGGTTGAGATATCGACTGTCTTTTAAGGGAGTTAAAAAAGTTTTATCCAAAGTCAGCATTTTCTATGGCAATGCATAACAATTAGTCTTCCTTATTTATTGAGCTTCAATTACTAACATGTGTACATGATGTTGTTTTTGGTGATTTTTAAAAAACTTGATCATGTTAATTGTCAATTGAATTTCTAAAATTAATGTTAAATTTTGCCATCAAGTAGACATGCAACATAAGTACCCAATAAAACATTCATGATCACCCTGTAATAATCGATGCAGTTACATACATGTAGGGAAAAGGCAATATGGTTTGCAATCATTAATTCAATTAAACAGTTCAACATTTTGACTATGGTACTAACAACCTTTACTGATTTGAAATTTTAAAAAACTCATATCATATAAAGGCTGGTTAAAAGCCAATAAACAAAGCACTACCTATATTTGCTTCTTATAGCACAATTCTCAGGTAAACTTGGACTTTCAGTCAGTCTTGGTGCTAAGTAATTAGCGTCTGTCAAATGGTGAATAGATTCTCATTGGTTAAGAAATTGAAAACATCAGGAACTTTAAATTGCTGTTGACAACGATGAGATAACTTAAGTTCCACCTCTTTGCTGAATGAGACAATTTTATTGGTTATTTGATACACTGGATGACATTTGCCCAAATTTCTATAAACATGTATATTTTAACAGTGAATGAACGCTGTGTAAATTTCGATGCTAATTATGTTACGTCAAGAATGCCATGCCTTACTGAAAGTCCAAGCTTACCTGAGAATTGTACTATTATGTCATGTTTGTACAATGTTAATCATGCAAACTTGATTCTTTCAATTATATTGATGTCTTAGATATATTAAAAAATCAACTAGTTTCATCATCAGTGTTTTCCCTAAGAACCGGCTAACCAGCCAAATTGACTGCTTTAGTTGAACAAAATGCCACTTTGAAATAAAAATTTAAAATTAAATTGCTGTAAGGTCTATTAAAATTTTGTACATAAACCTCAGCCTCCAGCCTGTAACAACTGATCTCTAACCCTTAACTTTGAAATAAATGGAAAACACTGATCAGAAGATTTTGACTTGATATGTCAGCTCTGTGATTGCATACCTTCAAGTTGCAGATTTTTTTTTTCAGGCTATGCGATTGGTGTTGGAAGGTTCTATGATGGAACCACATATCACTTTGCCATCGGTGGTCCAAGGGATGGTGGCTCAGGCAAGGTAAGTCACTCTTCCTCTACTGTGACAGTATGTTATGAATTACGTCCCTTTTAGAAGCCTGCAGTGTAGGAATTGATTTTTTAAAATATATAACAAAGACTTAATTTTGAAGTTGACCATTCTGATTGCCCCCCAACCTAGCATCCAACATTTACTGTAAAATCACATATTTTTGAGGGGTCCAAATTTCGTGGTTTGAGGAAAATATATTGGTTCATGAGGATTTGATTTTGTGGTTGACGAATTGTTCAGTAGCAATATATGTATAAAATTGCATTTCATTGTGGACATAAATTCGTGGGTCTCTTCATACCTCGAATACCACAAAAATTAAACACCCACGGAAATTAGTGATTTCACAGCACATCTCTGAATAATTATGTAAGAAACTGACTATCATAATTGAGCTGGTTATTTGCCTCATAAACCTCTGAAGAACTTAACAGAAACCAAAAATGGATTAAAGTGTTTTAAGAGTGTGAAAATTTCTTTCATTGTAGGTTATGATAAAGGGCACTGATTATACAGTGAAAGAAACATTGACTGGAATGGAGGTAAGATTAAGACAGGGTTTTATAAATGTTAAGGACTGATAAACTATAAAAAGATGGGAATTCTTTGATGAAAAAGTTATAAAACAACAGTACCCCATGGTTGAATTATTTCTGCAAGTAAAAATTAACGTATGGCCAACCATTATGCATGTTTATATTCTCCCTAATTTGCATGTATAGCTTTAAGGTGTTTTAAAATGCATGAAATAAGGCTATCTAAATTTAATTCACTTTCTGAATGAAATTTTCTCCAAAACAGAATACGGGAGAGGCAGCATTTTATTTTTCATTTTATTGGCAATAAAGTAGATGAGGGAGGTATTTTTTTTTTTTTTTAAATTCCCTGGGAATTTTCTTGTTTACATAAAGATAATTTTTTTAATCACCGATATACTTTCCATTTCTGGTCAAAATTTCTGCATCCATTGCTTAACAGCGTGTTAACATCGTAGGTAATTTCCTCGAATTTTTTTGCAAACGAAGTGGCCAAAATCTCATTGTAAATGGCTACCGGAAGTGATATTTGAATACTAAACTACGAAACAAATGAAGTCGGAATTTTTTTTCCCGGATTGGTCTCCGCAATACCAACTTTTTATTTTATCAAAAATACAATAAAATCGGCAATGCGGCTACCTCAAAACGGATGCGCGCGGGCCTGAGAACCAAGATTTCAATTTTATATGGCCTAAATATAATTTGTCGTTAATTCCACATGCTGTAGTATCAGTTTTGAATGAAATAAGAAAAAAAATTGAATGTGGAAATGAGGCAGATACAATTATTTCTTAATTTTTTGCAGTCTGGGAGTTATTTTGGGTCAGTTATTTGTTAATTTTTAAAAAAGATCAAAACTAGCCAAAGGCTCAAGTTGAATAAATTGATCACAATTTGTCCAAAAAATTGTGTCGTTGTCGGCATTGTCGTCATTGTCGTCGTCGTTGTTGTCGTTGTTGTAAACTTTTCACATTTTCATCTTCTCAAGAACCGCTTGGCCAATTTCAACCAAATTTGCCACAAAGTATCCTTGGGTCAAGGGGATTCAGGTTTGTTCAAATTTTTTTTGTCACCCTCATTCAAGGGGAGATAATTGGGAATTAATGAAAATTTGGTACCCTATGTATATTAAAAATCTATATATGCCGAACTACTGTGCCATTTTAAAGTTGAATATATGTGGTGAAACATCCTCAAGTTATATAAGATATATAGTTTGTTCAAATCATGACCCCCTAGGGCCATCACTTTTAAAAGTTTTATAGAAATATTATTTGGTAAAATTCTTTTCTTCTTTTCAAGAATAACAAAGCCATAATTGATCATATTTATATGGAAGCATCTTTAGGTAGTGCAGATTCAAGTTTGTTCAAATCATGACCTCCGGGGCAAGGGTGGGGCCAAAATGGCCGACCCAAGTTTTACATAGGAATATAAAGGAAAAAACTTTAAAAATCTTCTTTTCAAGAATAACAAAGCCATAATTGATCATATTTATATGGAAGAATCTTTAGGTAGTGTAGATTCAAGTTTGTTCAAATCATGACCCCCAGGGGTAGGGCGGGACCAAAATGGCCGACCAAAGTTTTACATAGAAATGTATAGGAAAATTCTTTAAAAATCTTCTTCTCAAGATTTAATTTGCCATAATGCTTATCATTTATTTGGTAGCATGTTCAGGTAGTGTAGATTCAAATTTGTTCAAATCATGACCCCCGGTTAGGGCAAAACAACAAAAGTTTTACATAGAAATGTATAGGAAAATTCTTTAAAAATCTTCTTCTCAAGAGTTACAAAGCCATAATTGATAATATTTATACAGAAGCATCCTCAGGTAGTGTAGATCCAAATTTATTCAAATCATGACCCCTGGGGGTAGGGCGGGGCCACAATGCCCTACCAAAGTTTAACATAGAAATATATAGGAAAATTCTTTAAAAATGTTCTTGTCAAGAATAACAAAGCCATAATTGATCATATTTATATGGAAGCATCTTCAGGTAGTGTAGATTCAAGTTTGTTCAAATTATGACCCTTGGTGGTAGGGCGGGGCTACAATGGCCAATCAAATTTTACATAGGCATATATAGGAAAATTCTTTTTAAAAAAATCATCTTACGAAGAATAGCAAAGCCAAAATTGGTCATTGGACTACTTTCGGATTTAAAGTATTTAATTATAAACCAATTTCTACTTTTTCTTAGCCACAGTGCTCAGGTGAGCGATGTGGCCCATGGGCCTCTTGTTTTTTTTTGCAGCCTGGGAGTTATTTTGGGTTGTTTATTTGTTAATTGTTAATTTTTTTTGTAGCCTGTGAGTTATTTTTATTCGGTTATTTGTCAATTGTTTTGCAGCCTTGGAGTTATTTTGGGTCGGTTATTTGTTAATTTTTTTGCAGCCTGGGAGTTATTTTGGGTCGGTTTTGTGTGTCGTACCCGGAGAGAATGGAGGCCCCGATCATCTACTGGTAGGAGCTCCTATGTACGGTAACATGCAGACCTACTCCAACTACTACAAGAGCAATCAGGAGCAAGGGCGGGTGTACGTGTACGGAAAAAGCCAGACTAATGTAAGTCTATAAGTTTACAGAAAAAAGTCAAGTCTTATGTACATATTAGTCCACAGAAAATTTCAGGCTAATGAAAAGTCTATGGAAAAAGAGAAACTAATGTATGACAGTGCATCAATACATAAAGTGCTCTATGGCATATTATGCAATCATGTACATCTGAAAAAAAGATACAAAACTATACATGAATGACAAGTTGAATAAATTGACAAAACTAGCCAAAAAATTGTGTTTTCTATATGCTAAGTTGACTTCTTTGAAGACAAGATGATAATTGTTACAATAAGCAGGATTTTTTTTTTTTTTGGGGGGGGGGTGCTCACTTGAGAAATTTATGATACTGTAGACTTACTTTTTTCCACAATGTCATAATTCCACAATTTTTTTTGTTTAATTCGCAGGTAGAAAATTATGTGGATTTCTTAGACTGTCCTTATATACCCTACATATATTAAATACTTATAAACAAATTTCCTCGGAAAATTTGTGACCGCGTACATAGCGTAAATTAATACCACACGGAAAAAAGTACTTCTACAGTATTCAGAAACCATTAAGCCAGGTTTTTTGTATCTATTTAGAACAAATTAGAGGTGAAACAGACACTAGAAGGATCCAAAGCTAGAGGGGCCAGGTTTGGCTTTGCCATGGCCAATCTTAATGATTTCAACAAGGATGGTTATAATGGTAAGTCTATCTAAAATATATTCGTACCAGAATACCAAGTATGGTAGAGGCTTACTGAAGCAACAAGGTTGAATGTGGATAACATTTACGTCCAAAAGTCAATATTCCTCCCCCACCCCTTCCTCTCCCACCCCCACCTCCTCCTCTTATATTTAGGTGTTTAGTTACTGTAAACAAACTTTTATTCGTGACGACTTTATTTTGCGATTTACCGAGGGTAAACTAGTTCGCGACGATTAATTTTCACGATCAAGCATTTTTTGGACACAGACACCTTCAGGACCATTTAGTGGCGAGAAATAATCGTGATGACGAGACTTTTGCAAAAATTTCTCCCATGCGAATAAAAGTTGGTTTACAGTAAATAATTGATATCATATAAGTCAGAAAATAATATCAGATAATGGCTATTTATTTTAATGCTTTTCAAATGCACATTTGTAAGTGTAATTGCTATATGGACATTATTTATATACATGTAGCCATATATTTAAGCTCTTTTCAAATGTAAGTCCTTAGACTATGTTGTGACAAGATATGTTTTCTTCTAAAATTAATTTGAAAAATGGAAAATGGCTAGTATGGATATCATTACCAATATTGCATGAACATACAGACGAGGCAGACTTAATGAGTTCTGTAAATTTTACTTCTGGGTTGAACTTAGGTTCACAATCAATTCTGAATGCTAAATAATACTTTTTCCCTAACTTTTCTGCACTTTCTATATATCTTCGTTAATGGATTTCCAAGTTAAATATATATAGCCAGTGATAATTGAAAAAAGTACTTTGGAAAAGACAGCCATTAAGTAGATACACTTAAAAACGTTGATAGTCTACTTTAAAATTCGATATTTAAAAAGTGGAGATACTTAAAAAAAAATTGCAAATTGTACTTGTCTTTAACAACATGTACTTTTATATAACTTGAACATTAATTTTATATTAAGTCATTAAAATTTTTCAGATACATGTCCTTCCTGTTTTCTGTTTTTATAAACTATTATTAGATCACATTCTTGTCTGTTGTTATGTAATATGGTAAAGCCCATTTTCCTGTGCGGGATAAATTTGTCCTACATGTATGTATGCAGTCATAAGATTTACACAAAAATTAGAAGACATACTGATACATGCACAAAGGCAAAGAAAATGTGTTTCATTTTATAATAATTATTATGTATTTTATCATTATTATGTATTATTACCATGAATTAAAATTTACAGAAATTATGATTCCACTGAATAATGACAACCCCCCCCCCCCCAACTGGAAAAAAAGTTTGGTTTCTACACTTGTACATGTATTTTATGTTACCTTAATCTTCTTAATCCTAAAATAGGTTACAATTTTCTGTTGGCTGGTCTATTGGGGTAGGGGATTTTTTTCCTCTAATTTTTTTGGGGGAAATTATTTTTATCTCCATTTGTATTGTATATATTTCATTGCATTTTCTCTGTTTTCTCCCACTTAGAACCTGCACCCATCAATTGCATTCATAGTTTCATAAATGCAACTTCTTCTGCTTTGAGCACAATCATTTCTCACATTTGCATATAAGTACAAGATATTACTAATATGTTGCATTCAGAAGTCAAGGATATATATGAATTGTTATCCAAAGGGAATAAATCTTTGTTTTGAATATAATACTGTAAAATCACATATTTTAGAAGGGCCAAATTTAAGTGGATTGAGTAGAATATATTGGTTCAAGGGGATTTGATTTCATGATTGAAGAATTGATCAGTAGTAATATATGTGCAAAATTGGATTTTGTGATGGACTTAAATTCATGGGTCTCTTTGTACCTTGAAAACCAAAATTTAGTGATTTCAAAGAACTTGAACATGTATCATCGGATTGTTGATGTTAAGCATCACAGGACTTAGAGCTTTGCTATTCTAATGGAGGAATGATTCAAAATTGATAGATTCAATATGCAAGTTTCGAGATTATCTCCCTTGATGCCCTCTTTCATTGAGGAGGTGAGTTTCGTTGCCGTGTAATGTTAACTTGTTTAACCTTTGCCTTTTTTCCCCACAAATTTTCTGTTTTTTCCTAATAACTTTTTTTTTATTGTAGCCCAATTAAGTTCAAATTTGGTATGGTAGTTCAGTAGGCAAAAAGACATATTTTGATGCTAAGTTTGTTTCTCTATGTCCTCTGGTTTGGAGCTGGGGTGGTGGGGTAGATTATGTGTATATGGGTTCCCATTGTACTGAATACTGCAATGAGAGGATTTTATTTGACACAGAGCTATTTTATCTGTCAGCATTGAATGTTAGCCCTCTGTCTGCAAATGTTTGTTAAGTTGACCTTTAAAAGTGGATTGAAGTATTAATGTTTTTACTGTTTTTTTGTTGAAATACCCTACACAATGAGTTCTGATTTCATTGAATTCTTAAAACAAGAAATAGATTAAAGAAGATATATATATTTTAATTTTTATTTATTTATTTATTTTTTTCTTGCTTTATGTAAATTTATATTTTTTTAAGTATGATTTTATCATTACTGAAAAAGTTCAATAAACCCCTTTATCCATTTTTTTGTGGGCTTATCTGTTTTCACTTTATTTTTTGTGATCTGTTTGTTTTGAAGTTCAATTTTAATTTGCATAAAAATAACACACATTTTGCAGAGATTTTATTTGTTTATTTGTGTATATTTTTGATGTTCCAGAAAAGCGCCCTTGACAAATATATTGTATACATTGCATCATTGATATACTGGTGTATCATAACTACATGATTGTAAGGATGTACTTTACAACTGGAGAATAACCGAATTAATGTAAAGGCGTAAATTTTTAAAGGAAAGAAATCGTAACAAAAAAGAAAATATCAGTGGATGTGAGACTTTTCAGGGGAACCTCTAATACTCTCTGCATCTGATTATTATATTTTGACTTATTGATTCTTTTCCTTATTGTATTTCAAAAACCCTCCAACCTCTTAAGAAAATGTTTGTACAATCAGGAAAATCAGTTACTTTTTATAAAGACTACGTCAGGCGTTTCTTTGGTTTTCAAGTACCCTATAATTGAAAGTAGATTTGTAAATATGCATAGTTGAGCTTGATAAAATCATCAAATGCATCACTTCTTAACATTATTATCTTTCTATAATATTTAGTAAATTTTAAAAGCCATAAATATCGTTCATTTATTTCTGCACGTTTGTATACAGAAACAACCTGTGCCACCTCCATGCTGAAATGGATACTTTTCGCGCCTCTATAGTAGGAGAGTTACAATCTTGAAACTTGCGTATTAAAAATTGTGATGTGATGATAAAGTGTAGAATAATATTTTTTCTCCTACCCCTGGAATGTTAACTTGTTTAACCTTTGCCTTTTTTTTCCTTTTAAGACGTAGTTATTGGGGCACCTTTTGAGAATGACGGACAGGGAGCGGTGTATGTGTATATGGGGTACAGGAGAGGATTTTACTTGACACAGACAATTACTGCAGGCCTTCAACAGTACACATTTGGTAGCCCCTAGCACCCAATTACTGTGACCAGCAGGTATTTATATTTGTATGATTTTATCATGAGCAATAAACCCTATATCCATTTTTTTTTGTGGTGATCTGTTTTCACATTTTTTGCTAGCATTCAATTTTAATTTGCAAAAAAACCATTTGCAGAGATTTTATTGTTTATTGTATATACTTTAAATGTCAAAGTAAACAGTCAACTGTATAAAAAGAATTAGTGCTTCTCTTTTGTGAAATATTTTTCTCCTAGAAGAATATTCATTCTTAATAATTTGTAGGTAAATATACAAGAAACTTCATTCATTCTTGTATATTTTAATATTTTTCAGATTTAGCTGTTGGTGCCTACAATTCGGACATGGCCTTTATCCTGTACACAAATCGACCAATCACAATGGTAGTGGACACAAAGACCAACCTATCACTACCAGCGGGAGGGGGAAAGGCTACAATTATACCCCAAAACACGGAGGGGTTCACACTAAATGTGTGCTTCGATTATGAGGGAAATAATATTCCTTCTGATGTGTGTGAGTTATTGTATACATTTTGATATACCGTATAATCCCTTTAAATCGCCTTGGGTGCTTAGAAAATTGTGCAAAAGGGTTATATTTTGACTTCAAAAAATCTTTTGGGGAAAAAAAAAACTTTGATGTTTTCTCTTTAAATAATTATTTTATTATTATGTTTATATTTTGACTTCAAAAAATCTTTTGGAAAAAAAAAAAAACTTAAAGAACTACTTAAATGATGTCTAACTTTTCTTTAAATGAAGATAATCCTCCCAAATTATGCTAAATGATACATTTTCCCCCTGAGAAATGGGATAAACATGATAAAAAACAAGTTTTATTTTTACTTTTACTGCTGTAACAGACTTTTGATATGATTCTAGATGATTTTTATCACTGTATTAAAATTCTCAGGTGGGCTATGACCTTATGATTTAGTCTTAACTGTTTTACAATTGAACACGTAAATTTATTGAATCTAAAATATCGCAATTGATCCTGGCTCTAGGATTCAGATTTAAAATAAATCTTACTGTTTTGTTTTGAAATGAAGATAACCCACCCAAATTATGCTAAATGATACATTTTCCCCCTGAAAAATGGGATAAAAAACAAGTTTCATTTTTACTTTTACTACTGTAACAGACTTTTGATATAATTCTAGATGATTTTTATCACTGTACAGGGGGATTATATTGAAAAAAACCCGTAAGGGGCAGGGGCTGTTATATTGTGAAATTATTAAATTTTTGTTAGGGTTCAATTTTTATTTCTTTTTGAGGTATGATGAGTACCACAAAGTCTTGTGTTGTACAACATTATACAAAAAAAAATTAAAATGTGAAATGTTATGAAAAAATAATGAAAGAATTCTTCATCCATGAAATCAAATTCTAAGACACAGATAAATTTTCCTCAAACCATGAATTCAAAATTTGAACTCACTGAGGCTAAATATGTATTTTTGTAGATGCTGTACATGTACTATATGGATATATTCATTGTTTTGAAAAAACATATTTCAAAAACTGATAAATGACAGTTAAAAAAAGTTGTGTCTGACTCAGCCATTCTACAAATATTTATTAAAAAGAACAAAGTCTACTGTTACTATAAATTTACAATTTTAAGCATCAATTTTAAAAATTCAAAAACAAATAAAGCACAAAATCAACTTTTATTTACGACTACTTTATGTCATAATTTACCGGGATTAAAGTAATTCGCGACGATTAATTTATGCGATCAAGCCCTTTTGGATCTGTTGTTAAAAGACATGGATACTTTTTGGTTCGCAGCGAGAAATACTCTCAATGACACAAACCTTGCGAAAATTTCTCGCACGCTAATAAAAGTTGGTTTACAGTAATCACATTTTTTATTTTAAGATTTCTTTTTTTTCAGTGGTGACCTTTACAGTAACAGCTGATACAGAATTTAGGGCCAGCACTGGCTCTAATGTGGATCGTGTATGCTTCATTAAATCAGATAACACTTGTGTAGACACAATGACCTCAATCATCCATATTCAAGGCAGTTTTGCTCCTTTTTGGCAGAACTAACCTGCCCAAAGTCTCCATTACAAGTCCTTATCAAAGACGACTGGGTAAGGTTTTATTCAATCAAGGCTTGGTTCATAAATGGATGCAACAAAATTTATATTCCAATAAGCATCAAATCCTTATTTTGACAATAACAATTGTTTCCGATAAAAAAAAAAATACACTATTTTCATCACTCTTTCTCTTCCTAAAGTTCTGACCTGATTTCAGAAAAATTTTTAAACATGTCTGATTTTCCTTTACTAACAGCTGATAAATCACTTTTTATTCACGAGAAACAATCAGATAAAACTTGTGTAGACACAATGACGGGAAGTTTCACCATATTCAAGGCTCCGGCAGAAAATCTAATTCTTACAAGTCATTATAATAGATTCTTTAAGATTATATAGAGCAATAACCACAATTCGCGAAAATTTTGATAACCATCGTTTCCGATCAAAAAAAAAAATCCACAGTTTTTATCACTCTTTCTCTTCCTAAAGTTTTGTCCTGATTTCAGAGAAATTGAAAGATGAGTAATTTTCATAACATTACTTAATAGGTATCAAATGGTCATTCTATAAATCCTTTACAGGGTTGTATGATATTCAGCTGCTGGTTACCATTACAGCCCTTTGGGCCTTTATATACAGAATAATAATGCATATATTTTTTGTTTTATAGAATAAGATGAGGGGATTGTTTGTTCCTGTGGTCTTTGATGTGGAGTTTACGGTATCTACCAGTGGGAGTACAGAGTGCACTGTGGGTTGTCCCATGGTCAATAAGTTTGATCCTAATAATGACGACCCATTTGCCAAGACTCGGAAATATTCAGTGAGTGCACAGTGCTTAAAAAAAGCTTAAGGTACCTTTGAGAAGCAATTTAAATTAAAAAAAAGTGTCATCATATTTTTCAGTTATTCGCTCTGGTAAAAGTACCAGGTACAGGCAGATTTTGAAAGGCCTACATGAATAGTGCCTTATATATTGTTTATTTATTTTTTTTTTTGACAATTTTAAGAACTTAAAAGTACAATTTTATGTCTATAAGATTACTGCACACTATTGATTTATTATGAACTTAATTTATTTTTAGTACGAGCTGGCAAGAGATGGGTGTGGAACGGATAACATATGCCAGTCAGATGTCAAACTTATGGTCGTGGCACCCGACGAGATCATAACGGGACCGCAGGCTGAATACACCATTGAAGCCACCGTCAGTAATGATGGAGAACCGTCCTACAACACTGAAGTCTACTTTAAATTCCACCCTAACATGACCCTCTCGGACACAATGAGTATCACTAAAAACCTTCCCGTAAGCTGTTCACCAGACATTGGTTCAGTGCAGTGTTCCCTCAATAAGCAAAAGATGGCCCGAGGAGAAACATTCAAATTTGCTATCAAACTGGACAGTAGTCAAGTCCTGCCATTGACTGACTCTTTTAATTTGAGAGTAGAGGTGAAATCAGACAGTAATGATCTTAGTATGCAGGACAATGTTTATACTAAATCTGTGGAATTAATTACAAAAGTGGATGCTACTTATAATCTGTAAGTATACTTCTCTTCTTTTTTATTGTAACTCGTTCACCTCTGATAATTTTACAATGACTGAAACCAACTTTTTCTCTTTTGCATTAATCTAACATACAGTATAATCCCTTTTAACACCACCGCCCCTGTAACACCCCCCCCCCCCCCTTTTCAATTGTCAGGAAATAAGGGCCCTCGTATAGTGATTAAAATCATCCAGAATCATATGGAAAGTCCACAGTAATTTGAAGAAATTAAAATGAAATTAGGTCATTGGGTAACATAAAGTATTCCGGAAAGTGAAAGATTTTTAGAACAAACTAATCATTCACATTATTTACTTTTGAAAGTGAAAGTTACCCACAAAATTTGTTCTCCTTGTCTATTCTCTAATTTCTTGGTGGAAAAATGAATGATTCAGCATAATATGGGTGGATTATCCTAACTTAAAGTAAAGTTAGACAATCATTTAGTGGTTCTTTTTTTTCAACAGATTGTTTAAGTTAAAATGTGACATTAAATGTTATAACAAGAAGACCAATTATTATTTGTGACCTAATGTTGATGTTCTTTTTGTTTTAGTGCTGCCAACCCAGAGGTTCACATAACCAAAACAGCTCCAGAAAAACCCACCATAGAAGTTTACCACAGCATACAAATAGTTAACACTGGGCCAAGTAATCTACTGGACACATTGACTTTTGACCTTAATTATCCGCAGTCTAGCCAAGTTAAAGTTATTAAAATTGTAAGTTGACAACCTAGTTTTTTTAATGCGATATTAGCTGTCTGTTTAATTTCTGTCTGTAAACAATTTTTCAAAATGCTACTCCTCCTACAGTTTTGGTCTGATTTCAATATAAGTTGGCACACAAGTAGACTACACAAAGATACATAATTCTGTGTTTCGGTTTTTGATTTCGATGAACGGTGTTGCCGTGGTTACTAAAAATAGAAATTTCTGTGAAATTCTTTCAAAATGCTACTCCTTCTACAGTTTTAGTCTGATTTCAATATAACTTGGCACACAAGTAGACTACACTAAGATACATAATTCTGTATATCAGTTTTTGATTTCGATGAACGGTGGTACCGTGGTTACTAAAAATAGAAATTTCTGTGAAATTCTTTCAAAATGCTACTCCTCCTACAGTTTTAGTCTGATTTCCATATAACTTGGCACACAAGTAGACTACACTAAGATACATAATTCTGTTTATCAGTTTTTGATTTCGATGAACGGTGTTGCCGTGGTTACTAAAAATAGAAATTTCTGTGAAATTCTTTCAAAATGCTACTCCTTCTTCAGTTTTAGTCTGATTTCAATATAAGTTGGCACACAAGTAGACTACACAAAGATACATAATTCTGTGTTTCGGTTTTTGATTTCGATGAACGGTGTTGCCGTGGTTACTAAAAATAGAAATTTCTGTGAAATTCTTTCAAAATGCTACTCCTTCTACAGTTTTAGTCTGATTTCAATATAACTTGGCACACAAGTAGACTACACTAAGATACATAATTCTGTATATCAGTTTTTGATTTCGATGAACGGTGTTGCCGTGGTTACTAAAAATAGAAATTTCTGTGAAATTCTTTCAAAATGCTACTCCAAATACAATTTTAGTCTGATTATAATATAAATGTGGCATGCAAGTAGACTGCAGTAAGAACATAAAGAGACTTAATCGAGGATCATTATTCAATTTATTGCTGTTGAAAAGTTTCAATTTCCAACTGCTTAAGTACTTTTCTTTTCCTTTGCTATAAGTACAAACCAGGAGAGCTTCAGTCTCGACAGAGACTTCTGGTTTTAATAGCAATATTATTAAATTTAATTTCTTTTAAAAAGCAGCTGTTTTGCAGGACAATTTTAAAGCAAACATTTACATGGTATTTGGTATTAAACTTTGATAGTTAAAGCCTCTTTTTTTATCTAGTGACTCAGGTGTAAAGTTAATTTGTTTACTCTTGATCATGTCCCACAGTTGGATACGAACCCACTACTTAGGGATCAACTCTTTACTTCATGACTTTAGACGCTCTAACCACTGCACCACGCGGGCAACGATATTTTAATAACTTGAATTCTTAAGTCACATCAGCTAGTTGTTATTCAGTGCACCTCACCATTACGAGATATAAAAATTTTGCTTATTGTGATTTTGTTTTAGGTTAAAATCACTTTGTAAAACACTTTACATACAGTACTGCTTAAGAATTTTTCAATATATTAAATTTAATGCTGTATGTATGCCTATTTTTTATCCACAAGGTTCTAAATGTTTCCGCTGCGACTGATGACACACTGATAAGATGCCAGAATCTCCGGCTACAGCCTGAGGGTATGACCAATCTAACCTACAGAGCGTTCACGGTTCCCTTTGATGAAGCTAGAAATTCAAGATCAGGGACCAATTTTGTAAGTAAACATTCATGTTGAATAAAAAATTGTTTTTTAATGAGATGTCCATTCAGAACTCTCTACAATCAAAAGATTGATTGAATATTGTTTACCGCTAAGTCGGCAAGTTTTCAGCCATGTTTTGGCAAGATTTTTAACATGAAATATATGGAGATAACGAAGAGTATTTAAGCTCAAAAGTACATTAAACAATAAAATTAGGAGCAGAGCAAACACACACACCTCCAGAGTTGAGATCAGGTGCCATGGAGGAGTGAGCATCCCCAGTCACACCTTCATTTCCTTGTCATGGTCTAGAAATAATGGGAAAATCTGTTGACATTTCAAAGTGTAAATAATGGCCTCAAAATTAGTATGAAAAATGTATACTAAGTCAGCATGTGCAGTTAAGCTTTGTGTTTTTCCAAATATTTTCAGGATTGCAGTGTTGGAGGATCATGCTCTAGCTTGGAGTGTGATATTGGAACCTTCATGTATGACAGCTTCATTTCAGTGGATTTTTCTTTTGAGGTTGTCCAAAACTTGTACGATATAATAAATGTAAGTATGATTTATGCTGCAAATTGTAAAATTAAGGATAATCCTCTGTTGATTTTTCCAGTGCTTACAGCTTTTAACATTTTCATGCTTATTTGCAAGGGGGAAAAATAAATTACATTTTGCTATCTGTACATTAAGCTAGTAATATTCTAACGTAATTCTAGAATACACGTATATCTATGATCATAATGCCCTTATTTATCGAGCTACTGAGGAGATGGTTAAGACCTTACTTCTTACATTTAGCTGTTGGTCTGTATCATACTCAGAGAAAAAAATGCAGCATAAATAGATGTGTTTTATATAGAAGCAGAACAAAATTATTAAGATATGTTCAGAACATTTGAAAAATTGGCCGAGTGAAGGATAATTTTAAGGATTTTAATTATTATTTGGAATCAATAATCCTAATCTAATTAAAATTAGTGTCGCTCCAATCGCTACACAAAAGTAGATCTACAGTAATGCCCTTATTTTAATCGAGCAATAATCCCATACAAAAGTTTTCCTTTCATCATTTAACTATTTATTTCTTTGTGAATTGATTTTGCTTTAGAAATGAAATAATGAATTGAATGGCTTGTTTTATCATGTTCTTGTCCCACACTTTTCTTGTTTAATAGGGAATGGAGGTAAGATTTATCTGTGTATTTAAATGTGTTGATTTTCATTGCTCCCTGTTTATGTTGTAATTGTAATTGTGCCAAAAGTGAAGATAATTTTATTTTTTCTCTATATATTTCATTGAAAACAACATTTTTTAAATCATTGGCAAATGGTCAATTTTTGTCAATTTCATTATTTATTTCAGAACTTAAACCAGAAAATGTGTAGTTTTCTTTCTTTAAAAGATCAATAAGTATTTAGTTTTTACAAAAGTTTTCAATTGACATCAGTTCTAAAATTCAAGTTAACGTTGACTATATTTCATTGTGAGTATGTAACTTAAAAATTCATGTCGAAGTAAAATAACAATATTTTTAAAATATCAATAGTGATCAGATAAAAACTATTGTTTATATCAACTACAACAATTTATTGGATTACCGAGAAATTTGTGATAAAATCTGTCCAGAAATGATGTCATACCAGTGGTTTTAAAAAATGTTGTTTTCAATGAAATATATAGAGAAAAAATAAAATTATCTTCACTTTTGGCACATTGTAATATATGTTATTGTTTTTTCCCTTTAGTTTTATTTAACATTCCCTTTTGAAAAGTAACACTATATAGTTATTGAACTACATGTATATTGTAAAAAAAAAAGTTCAAAGATCACAACTACATGTATCTCTGCTAATCTGGTATAGTGTTTAAATAGTTTCATTGAAAACATATGATTATCATATGTATATAAAGAAACACTGACAAATAACTTGCAAATGATTATTATACCTGAGCCATGAAGTGATTGTTCATTACCAAGTGTTTATAAGGATATCCCTTTTGGATTGAGTGACTTTTCATTGACAAAAGTGATTAAAATGATTAATGTGATTGATATACCTTTTATAAAAGAAAGATAACTCAATTACACATGAAATATTTTTAAAAATATATACTTGGCCAAAATGTATTTTCTTCAAATTTTTTTCTGTGCAAAACCACTCTGATAAAAAATGTTTTTACATTTAAGTTTTCAAATAAGTAATTTTCAATTGATTTTGCCACAAGAGGAAAACCCCAAACTGTGCATGTTGAATAACTTTTTCCTGGTTCGATTTCTTCTTTCCTTTCCAAAGGGCATGATTTAAAAATCACTTAATGTTAACTGCATTTAAAAAATTGATATACAAACAAAATTACCATCGTTATACTCATAAAAAGATGTTACCATTGATTCAAGGGTTAAAAATCTACTTATGAAAAAAATAATATATTTTGTTTCTGTAGAGTTTTGTCATAGCTTCATCAAGTGTTGTAAGTAGTTAAAAGAGGTATATATTGAAGCAATATAATTTTCAATTGATACTTACTCCAAAAATCCTCTGAATTTGTACAATATTTGCATATCTATCAAATCTCTCAAACTGACTGTCATAAAAAAAAAGGTCAAGTTAATGCTTGCCTTTTGTTTGATTTTAGGGAATAAATTTGAAATATAGGCCCTAAACTATAATGTAGCTGTAATTGTAATACTACATGCATTCAAGCTGAACACTACAGGTAAAAAGGCATAGTCCGCCATATTTCCTGTTCTTCAACGCTCTCCCTACAACCTCATATATAAGGAGCAGATCGCTTATCAATTCAATGTAGTTTGCTGTAGAGATCTGACGAGTGTAGACGTACATCTTACACAGCCCTGCAACTCTGTCACGATGAAATTATCAAATTTAATTTATATTTTCAAAATAGGACAAAAGTATCATGAAAAATACAGGTCAATACATTATATGCAAACAGAAAATGCACATAAAAACAAGAAATAAACGCAAAAAATTTAAGACAACGAAAGGAGTACCGTACTACATGTCGGCCTTGAGTTTGGAGTGTGCAATCGGGTGTAACGAAAATGAAGGGTTTATATACCAATCTGACAGTGCCTATTTATGAGAAGTGTTCAGCTTTAATGAAATAGTACATATGTATATATTGTAAAATCTGTGTTAAGTTTTGTTTAAATTGATATATGAAATGTCATTCCAATGTATTGGCCAGGAAAATATTTAAGTGGCTCTCTGTTGTTCATAAAAAAAAAAAATTCAATATATTAAATTGCTCATTATCATGATTCCAACTTGGTAATTTTAAAACAAACAGTCACATGAACCTAATTAATTTGTAAATAGTAAACTGATTTCCCAAGGTGTAAATTTTTCCTTTTACAAATAGTAAGAAGACCGTTGACTTGTCATAAGTTGACCAATCACAATTCTATGAATCACTATAAAATGTTGACATCAATGGAGTTATGTTGGATATAGTAAATTATGATAGAACAATTTGCAGATTAGGAGATTATGATTTACAATTTATAAATTATGTTTTTATGTGTACATTTGTACATTTTAAGAATTACTCAGTTGGAATATCAAACCCATTGATCCAATGTTGATTTTCAATATTTATGTAACCTGTATTGCATCAGAAATTTGTATTATTTGAATTATATATGTACGTGCATTTATTTAGTTGAATAGCATTGCATAGTGCCTTAATCAAAGCATATTTTATCTTATAATAAAGATTTTCAGTGATGTTAACCAGAGACACATTTTTCATGAAAAAGGGATAAGATTCCTCATTTTTATATTTAATTTATATTTTATTTATTGACAAAATTCTAATGTGTTTAAGATATTTATTCTATTTCTTAACCCTGATTTAAATTCAAAATTAATGAGGTTAACATTTTGATCCTGTGAAAAATCATTTTAAAAATGAATACAAGACAAGATAAGACATTTCTTGCATTGGAATTACAATATTGTATTCAAGATTTTATATGTTGTTATTGAATTACGATATTGTATTTACATCATCCGATATTCATGTTTGCTATTGTTCCAGAATTAAACTATTGAATTTTCAGGATGTAATAGGACTTGTGGTTATTGAATTAGTCCAAATTACAGTATTATATTTAAACAGTCAATCATTCTTGGTTAATTGTAATAGAATTACAATATTGTATTTACAGGATCAAACAGGGAATGTAATACCAGAAGTTCCCATAGTAACCACCTTTGAACCAAAAACCAATAACCCAGCAGTCAATTTACAGGTTCAAGGAGAGGCCATGGTATGTACATGTATATCATGGTAGAAAAATGTTTTTTGACAATATTTAAATGTTTAACACACAATTAATAACTTTAATACTAGAACATTCATTTTTTTGTTGCTGAAATTTAGTGCTGCTTTCATTTAACTGATTTTGTTTATTCATTTGATATGCTGTTTACAAATTTTATATTTTATTGCAGAAATTAAAAAAAAATTATTAAACTTAATTAATTGGAGTACTATAATTTATTTAAGAAACACACAGTTTGGAGACTATCAGGGAATTTGAAATTTAAATTTGGGAAAATGCCATATAAATTATTAACAAATTTTAACTATTTTTAGAACCCCAATTGTACAGTGAGTAGTGAAAAATATAGAGACATATCCTCATCTTGATATTTTAAATACAAAGATATAGAATATATTTTTTTTAAAAATGCGACGAAGGACATTCATATTTATAATCTGAGTATATATATTATGCTTTAAATTTCATGATAATTAAATATATTAAAACTTAGAAATTATGCATAAAGATTTACCTATGATTTATATATTTTTTAAACATTGAACTTCAATAAACAAATGGCAATGCATAATTAATGTAAAAATTAAAAATATGATTACATTGTAACATGTATGGTAAAGTTATTTTTTAGTAGAAATTTTTGAGCTCATTTAATGTCCTCAATCTTTTTTATCTCTATAATATGTTCCAATTTGACTTTGATTTCTTTCTTTTTCTGAATGACTTTTTTTCTTACAAAAAAATGAAAGGCAAATTTCTTTTTTTAGAACGAGACTTGCGTAGTAAGTAGCATTAGGGAGTTCCATAACTAAAACAACAGTTTTGATGCCAGTATGTTATTGCGCACGTTTCAAACAATCTATAATCTTATTTTTAAAAAAAAAGATATGCATTTTGTGTTATGATACCTACATGTAATTGCATTTAATTAAATATTTGAGTGACCGAGTATTGCATATATATTTTCATACAGTACATGTACATTGATTATAAATATGTATAAACGAAAAAATGGAAAAAAAACTTATTAAGGTAACAATTGCATGAATCACTGTGGAATGGATGAGAGTTTTGTTGATAGATTTGCAACAGTTACTTAAACTCTCCTTCTTAACTGGAGTCTATTCTTTATTTAACATTACAAAACAAATAATACATTAATTTTGATGTCTTGTGACAATGTTGAAGAAATGGTAATCAAGAGGTGTTTGTTAAATGTACATTGTTCAAACTTATCTGGTCAAGCATTATCATGTTCCTTCCTAAATCTCATTTCAAATTTCAATTTTTATCTTATTAAAAAAAAAAATCTTCGAAAATAACAGAATTCTTTTGTTTAGTTGAGTTTAAAGGAAGTTTAAAATTTACCACATACCTGTACAGATAAACCTTCCTCAAGTTTTATTAAATATAATTAAATAGTGTAAATTATGTAAACCATGTACATGTTATTGAACAAGATAAAATTCAATGATGATAATAATATAACATTTGTTTTTGTGCTCTTTCATTTATTTACAAAGTTATGTTAATAAAAATCTTTGGTCTGTCTTTAGTTATGTTAAGTAGGTAGATATATGTATTTGTTTGAAAAAAGAGAGAAAATGAGAGAATGACTCTTGTACTGTACATAGTATGTGTAGTAGAATTAAGAGTAAGCAGAATTGTTGAACTTTTTAGTGCAGTTAAGTTATAACAGTATTTTAGATCACAAATTGCTTTATAGTGATGTGTTTAATGAGGGATATGAGGATGGCATAATTGACTGCACAGTTTTATTTGATAGAACAGAATGGCTACCAAAATTGACTGTTTACTTTTAATTGATATATCAGAGTAGCCATCAAAATTGACTGTACATATATCAATATGATATAGCAATTGTGACTAAAATGACTGTACATGTACACTATTTTTCAATAGGTCAGAGTGGTGTCAAAAATGGACTGAACACTAATAAATCATGTTAACCCATGTATAAGGTTGGGACAGTTTACGCTTTATATGGTTGTCTTGAAAATGACTTCAAATTTTACAAAAAAATGGAATGTAACGCCAGGAGGATTGTTAGTTTTGACACCATTGTGACGTAGGCAATCCAATTATATTAATAAGATGTATTTTTTCCCATTAAGATACTGCGTTATAACCAGAATTAAATGATTATTTTATAGGTCAGAGTGGTGACTAGAATTGACTGTACACGTCTATTATTTTATAGGTCAGAGTGGTGACTAGAATTGACTGTAAACCAGTGGAAGAGGACGTTCCTGTCTGGGCTATTGTTTTACCTATTGTTATTGCCGTCATTATTCTCGGGGTCATCGTTTTCGGTCTATGGAAGGTAAAATATGAATAACATACTGTAGATCACTTAATTTTCGTGACACCTTATTTTCACGAGATAGTCATTGACTCTTTATTAGCGAGACAAAATTTTCACGAATTGTGGTAATTGCTCTATATAGTCTATTGTTATTGCTGTCATTATTCTTGGGGCCATCGTTTTCGTTTTATGGAAGGTAAAATATAAAAAGTGATTTACAATATACAAGTGTTTTAATAATATTTTTTCATATGTTTGGTCATAAAAAAGCATAAAAAGAATATGGTTCTTATACATTTAGTTAGCATAGAAATTCATCTTTATTGATTCCATGCCATGAATTTTTATTGTACTTTAGTTTTCAATGCAGTTATATATGTAACGTGTATAATTTTTGTGATAGAATGCATCGATTGACATCGTTTCACTTGGTATCACTTTTATGCTATTTTGTGAACTTTCACCCATTTTGTGATTAATGAATTGTTGTTATTGTTAACATTGCAGAAAGGATTCTTTAAAAGAAAATACAAAGTTCGAATGGAAGAACAGAAAGCAAGCAAAGGAAAACCAGATGAAGATGATGATTTTGACAATCTTCATCAAGCAACTGTTGTTCAAGTGAATGATGAAACAGACGATGAAAAGCCAAAATTATCAACTTTTACAACTCCAACAGAGGAGGGAGAAAAGGAGAAGAAAGAAGAGGAAGAGGAGGAGGATTTAGATTTTGAAACCAATAAAGGTGAAGAACCTGATTGGGGTGGGTTAGATAAGCTAATGGAAGATTTGAATCTTAAGGCAGGTCGTGATGCAGGGTCTGGGCCAGTGGTAGAAGCCCCTGTATCTAAACATTCAGATAACCCAGTGAATGCTGTTGTTAAGCCTACCGGCATGGACTATGATGATATAGAGGATGATGAAGAAAAAGTGACTGAAGGGACAAGTTTGATTCCTAGGGAAGAACCTTCCAGTCTGAAGGATGAGGAAGCAAAGACTGAAGAAGACATTCCTGACTATGCTAAAATAGATAAATCTAGGAAAACTTCTCAAAAAGAGCCACTTTTAGGAGATTCAGCAAAATCAGAGGATAATGAAATCCCTGATTATGCTGTAGTTAACAAAAACAAGAAAAAAGACGATTCTTGAAGAAAAAAAATGTATGTTTCTTCTAATGTTTTAACAAATGGTTGTCTACAAACGCAGGTGTACTCATGAATGTTGTGAAATTGCTTTAACAACATATCACATATCATGTGGCCATGGTCAGCTTTAAGTGTTTGACTGATAGATAATATGACTGATTTAGCAGGGGTCTCTGGTCCCTTTCATCATTTCACACTGACACCATTTAGATGGTTATGCTGAAGAAGAAGAAGACATTAATTTTTGAGTTCTTTCCAAAATGGTGTTCCCAGAGAGGGATATGGTTATTCTACAATTTCTCGTTTATTTATTGCATGCTTAACAACCAAGAAGTATCAGACTGTTGTCAAAGGCTTTTAGTGATTTGGAATTAATATTAATGTCTTTTTTTTTTTGTTTTGTTTAAGTTTATTATGGTTTGATTATAGTCTTTTATTTACGTAAACTTGATTGTAATGTTAGAAGATAATATTAGTAACAGTGTACATTGGTATCACAGACAGGGCGGCAGCTCCAGAGTCACCGGAAGTATCAGAACCAGAATCCAGGTCAGGATGACCTTAATTTCATAAAGCAGCGTAATCTGTTTCTTTCCTCTGGGCTTACTTGGTTGTGATTGATCAGTTACTGCACGTTTTTTACAATATATGTGATGTTGCTTAATTATTATTTATTCACTTATACCGTTATCCTACATGATTGCTATTCGTAAATCACAGAAGAAAAAAAGTCACATTGTAGTAAATGTTCTTTCACTATGCTCTTAAAAAAATTCTGTATTTCCGTGCAGGCGGTTTCTTTTTTTTTCAACCTTTTTGCAAAATTTCTCTTTCTCACTTCTTTGAACAGTAACGTGAAATGATTAAAAGATTTAGAAATCTTAATTGTTAAAAATATCTCAATTTATTAAAAATGTTAGTCCATGCAGGTGCTGTTTGGAATATAATGAGATGACGCATTGTATATAGAATTTATTTTGTCTGCTTTACTAATCATTCGACTATTGCAGCATACATACAGTCCACGTTTCATGTTTAGCAGATTTTAGTTATGTGATAATGTAATGTCCTTTGCATGACACTGAGCATGGATGGTATAAAATAGTATCGTTACTAATACGTTTGTAAAGGGGGTTGATAAATACAGGAGGCATTTCATGAATTTTAAAGAGCTTTTAAATTCACATCTCTGGTATTATTATGTGTACCGATTATAAATACAGTTGTGATTATTATTTGTATTTTATGTCCGAATATATCTTTCTTGAGATATTTTTTATGACGTAATAGTCTTTGATTAATCTTTATAAAATTTAGGATATAGAAACAAAAACATTAAATAAGATGAGAAAGAATCATTTAAAGCTTTAGAATATGTTCTAGTTTTTTCTTAAATTAAAATGAAAGTACATGTAAAAATAATTAAAAAAAAGAAGAGATGTAGTAATCGTTAATTTAGTAGTATTAAAACATAAGAATGCATCGTACAGTTTGCATCTTTTCTTTCCAAAAACAACAATGGTGAATATGCTCATGCATTTCACAGCTATATAATTACATGGTTTTGTTTTGTTTTGCATTAATATGAGAAAATTCTACCACCTCTGTGCGTAAATCCTCCATCTTACCATGCATAATTGTGTCTAAAGACTTTATAAATTGTAAAGACAGCTACAAAGATCAGATAATTCCTAGTCGTCACTCCCTTATTGGAGCTGATGAAAGTTGGGCAAAAGGTTCTTTCTTTTTGCATGGGATTGTACGTGAACAGGTTATATTTTCTGGTCTTGATCCTTGATTTAAACTATATTTATTAGATTTACTGAATAGATAGGGCAAGAGGGAAACTGCCTATAAATACTCTCTCTGTACAAGGTCATGGATAACATTACAATGAACTGAGTTGATATAACTTTATAATGCAACACGGGTAGGAACACCCTCACCCACACCCTTTCACACACTCTCTCTCACATAAGCACAACTGATTCGCACAGATCGATCCGGATCAAGAAATAGTATAACAAATAATTTGTATAAATAACATTCAGCAACAAAAAGAAAAATGTATCAAGATGAAATGCACTTTAAGCGTTTTGTTACCCTGATGTATTCTTGTACATGGTTTATAATGTTGAGGTTCGTTTGACAGGAAAACTCTGATCTCCCATGTAAAAGGATCTTTTGCTCAAATGGTACACCAGACTCATAAGATTTTTCTTAGTTTGTTTCTTTGTCTTCTGTATGCCGGACAATTCATGAAATAGTAGTCATTATCTTTTTTTAAGTCTGCATTGAGGTTACTATCTTTATGACGTAGTTGATAGGTATATTCTCTTTTTTGTTACCATTATAGTTGAAATATTCACAGCTAAGTGGTTGCTTAGTTCAATTGGTTCTCCATTTTCAAATGTTTAAAAAATGTAATGAAATTCCTTATAGCTATTACTTGATGGGCTCTAAAGATGAAAGAGAAAACTGTGTACCTTTTTATGAACCTCTTCATGTATATGGTAACTTGAAGTTGAATACAAATAACTTCTACGATGAGCTTTGATAAGCGATCATTCAGAGGACATGGAATCTTTAAAGAAGTTTTTCCACGTCGACGTAATGCGTCATAATAGAGGAACAAAACTAGAATACGCCAAACCTTATGCAACATATCTGAATGAATATGTGTCAATGAATAATGCAACGAAAAATAAATTTAACTTTAATATTTTCTCAAATTGAATAATAATACAGATAATTTGAGATGTTGGTAGATACTCTGTTGTATACCATATGTATTTTTCTTGAATTTGAGAGATGCATATATTCATTACTGCACAGACACATAAATTATAAATTATAAATTCAGAGAGAAAGGGGGGAATAGCAAGTCAAAATGTGTTTGGTATAAGAAAAGGTAGTAATGGTAAACGTTCAAAAAGGACAATATTTAAAAAAAAAAATTGTGCACCTTGAACGTCAGACAAGTTGAACCAATTGCAACTGTATCTTTCATAGGTATGATGAAAAAAGCGTTTTCGAAATGTAGTTAAATATTACGCAAATCGTCAAAAAGGTTTTAAAAGGGTTTATGTATACTAGTATATGTAAGACAATGTTCCAAATATCTAATATGGTTGCTGCTTTATTTATCGCTGTCTGTTTCTTTTGCAATAATGATTAATTTCATTCCAGCATTCTTTTTGTATTTGTAATTGTGAATGATGATTGCTTTGTTTGAAAGACATTTATATATATATATATGGATATAATACATAATTATGTCTTGTACTGGTACATATTTGTGTAAATGTGAAAAGAAATATTGTTGGAAGTAAAATTTTACTATTCAGATTTTATATAGTAATTTATAATTGAAGTTATTTGTAGTTTATAAAGAATGTGTAAGAAGCTTGTGTATGAATCGAGTGTAATGTAGTACATGTAATATGAAATCCCATGGATATATATGTATATATATCACTGCCATATATGTCATGCTTTATATTCATTTCAGCAGGAACATAAACAGTTATAAACAAATAGTTGTTTTCCGACTGTCAAATATATTTATTTCATTAAATGATTTTGGAGAATCTTCCTCCAAAGATTAAAAAGATGCTGAAAGGAAAAATAAAGGTAAAATTAAAAATCAAGCAATTACACTTGACAATGCAGAGAACAATTTAGGTAAAAATTTTTGGAACTTAATCCAAATCACGTTGACATAATGTTAACAATAACTTGAAATATGTTCAAAGCAATCAAACACACAGAGAAACACTTGGGTCGTGTAGAGCAGTGGTCAAAGCGTTTGCTGTAGATTCGTAGAGTATATACTGTAAATCAGATTCGTATTTTCGCGGAAGTAGTCAAAGCGTTTGCTGTAGATTCGTAGAGTATATAATTGGTCCTTAAAATCCGATCCTAAGACGATATGAACTGAGGTCATGTTACTGCTCAGTTGCCACAAGGTCTGAGTATAGGTCACTATTTGCAACATTCCACCCGGTAAGCTCTTGGTGTCTCAATAATTGAGGACAGAATTCTTGAAGGGGCGTTAATGAACAGAAAAAAACTTTTGAAACAATATTTTTTGAAACATTTGATCATCATCCAAAACTAGTATCTAAAAGATCCGCATTAATTATCTATGCATGCAACAACTCTATCTCCTCTAGCAATTTACAATTTTTAGAATGCTTTCAATCTACCCCGCTTTTGCAAAGTTGAGGGGGGCATCAATTTTCATTCATCTGCAAATTTTTAACCTTAAAATTAAACCTTGTTCAAGAATTTGCAATGCGTGTAGAAAGGGTTAATTTTTCTATGACAAGACCTTTCAAGTTGCTATGACGTTGGCCACGGGGCCTGATCCTTGAAGTTTGAAATACTTTTTCAAAATTTGGTGATAAAATTTTTAAAAAGAGTAGAAAGGAGCTCACAGTGACTTATTATTGATCTGTGACAAGATCTTTTAAAATTTATCTTCATTTAAACCCTTGACTTTAATTACTTTGAAGGTTAGTCGACTTTTAACTGTGGTGATACTGCGTTCATATTTGATATGTAAAGAAGAAGGTACAGTTTCTCTACAAATTACGCCCTGAATTTTTCTAAAATATAAAAGTGATATAACAAATTAAAATTCATTCTTCCTGATTCATTGGAATTCCATGTAGTAAGAATATAAAAATCGTTTTTCTCATATGACCTCCTAAATGCTAATTGTGACGTCATTAACTTGTGCGTTTTCCCGTATTGCAGAAGACATCAATTTTCAGTGGAATTTTCTTTCAGAAAACATACTCTGCCACCGTCGCCCACAAAGATTGTGAGATATGTGATTTTTCATAGTATTTTCAGGGTTCGACACTAACGGTGGACCGGCGGCCCGAGTCCACCAAAAAATTGGAAGGTCCACCAAATGTTCTGGACTAGGTGGACCGTCGGTCCACTTAAAATTTTAAACACTGTATTTAAATACAGTGAAATTCCAAGGTTTTTTTCTTTAAATCGAAATCTGTTACATGTAAAATTGATAACTCCAATATTAATAATGATATTGAAGCGCAAGAACATTCGACACGGACCTTGAATAAGAAGCATGAAAAGTCCGTATCAATTTAGCCAGTCTCTTCTCTGTTAGAAAGGTGTGAAAATTAAACAGGGTAACAGGATATCGCTTCACGCCTGAACGCACACTGTTGAAGATAATTAGAATTGATTGACAGCTGCATTTCTGCATTGTTGTCTTTTTTATAGACGCATTTTACATTTGGTAAAGTATTATCTGCAGTTTAACATTTTTTCTTGATATACATTATGTCAATACTTATACTGAATAAATAATAAATTTAGAAAAAAAAAATGAAATAATACACATACATATACCTGTGTCAGTTTTGCATCGTAGTAAATAACAATGACCTAGCCATACATGTAGATACCTGAAAAATTCACTTGTTTAATATTTTAACAATTTAATTAATAATTGGAATTTTAAATTAAATCTACCTTTGCAAGTGAAATAAATGCAGGTTTTCACCATTGTA